TATTTATATAAAAGGGTTCTGTTTGAGCGCAATGGTCTCAGCTTGGCTGCTGGAGAGGCTCTGGTTATGAGTGCCAGTTAACTGCAACAAAGTTCCTCTACTTGGATTTATTTTATAACCAATTAAGTTTGCTATCGCAAATTGGCTTAAAGCAAATATGCCGAAGCTTGTGTAAATATATAAAGAAACAAATCGACAAACAAACCACTCAGTCATACACGCACACACCCTCACGCGCACACACACACACATGCTCGCAGATAGGCTCAAGTGCTCGACACACTCATGTAATTTCCGCAAGACGCGGGACTCGTTACGGGGGTCGCCATTTAAAGTGTTTACACAAAAATTAAAGTCGAGCTGCGAGCCGTCTCGTATTTGGTACTTTATAAATTGTTTGCTTAACCGAAAAGCAAAGTATGCGTGACACAAAGTAAATACAGAGATATGTGGGGCCTAGTCCCCCAAAAATGACGACCTTATACGATGTCCTGGCCACCTTTGAAGTTTAAGAGCACCTAACGAGGGCTGGCTGGTGGTTTTGCGGTTGCGTACAATTAATTACTTAGTGGACAGTTATATTGAAGGCGAACGTCGAAAAGAATCGAAAAAAAGAAATATATTTAATTCCTATGTACTCAAAGAAATTGGGTTATACAAATGGATCTAAAGAGCAGGAAAGAGGATTGTTCGTTCGGTTTCATACTCAAGTTACTTCACTTTTAATTTACCAGAAGAACCTCTGTTTCTACGTAATAAATATCTATATGTAGCCTTCTTTAGTCATGTCTCGAAGATGTAAAGAGCTATAGGGTATATAATATGTGTGCTTATGTAGAGCAAAAACATTTTTAGTATATTTCTCAATGCGTCCAGTTCCCGACTAGGGAATACTCTTCAATCAACACGCGTCACGAGCTTTTTCTTATTTATATAATGGATTCTATAACTCAAAAGACGAAATCTCATCAACTGACCCTCGCAGCTATACCCTTGTATGGGTTAGGTTTCTGTAAGTGAAATTTCAATTATGCTAAAGATAATTAAATTGAGTTTACACATGTTAATTTGTTGGCGCTAGCAAGGCAAATGACGCGTAAGCCACGACCAAAAATAGCCGTACAATAGTTGAGAATTTTTAAAGTGCCTACAGGTGACACAGGTGAAAGCACAACTTCAATGCGTCAGAAATGGGTCACTCACACGTATTTAGTTTAAGTACCTCTCCGGATTTCCATATCGGATTTGCAGACTGAGGTGTGCGAGAATACAAAATCAATTGCCTGGTTGACGGCAAGTGTTTACCTTGCTCACAACTTTTAGTTAGCTAAAAACAGGCTTTTCTCAAAAAAAAGCTGTTCTCGTATATTCCAGAGGTTTAAAAGGCAAGTATAAAGATGATACGTACGAAAATGCAACTGTCTAATAAGTTGTGTTTAAACCGTACATCGTTTTATATCGTATATTTTATTTCTGAAAAATGATTTAATTTATTTAAAACTATAGAGGTTTTTATCTTTTAGATTGTCAACACATATTTTGCCTGTATATCCAATAGTTTTTAATAGAGTTAATTGTATGCAATCAATGTTCATTTAAGTGACTGAAACTATGTGGCTAAATATCAGAATTTGATTACATAAAATTGATGTTTAATCGAATCACCTTTGATTGATGCGTTTGAAAAACGCAAATTCTTATGCCTAATACCATTATGCTCACACCGAACAGCAGCGATGCCAAGTGGTCTCTTCTCACTTATTGCCCTTTAGTTGGACTTAAGTGTCATCGTTTTGGTGGCAGCTACGTGAGTGGCGTCCAAATAAGCGGTGCCAATGGCGAAAGCGCCCATCTGAACCCTTTGCCTGTGTTGCACAAGGGTTAATGAGCTATAATTGTGGAGCTATTATCGTTATCGTTATGGTTGGCTAGAGAAGCAAAACTTTTTTGATCATTTTTTATTAATATCTCGGGTAATATCGTCAAATTTTGAGATGTTAAACCCCTTTGAATTTGTAGGCATTCAAAAAAGTTAAAAATCGATGGGTTAAAAAATTTGTATTAAGCAAAAAACAATTCCTTTTTAAAGTCAGTAAATTTTGGAATATTTCGGAAAAATAATGTCATGAAGTGTTTGGGAATTTTTTTTTAGCTGTTTCACAAGGCTTAACCTTTAGGTAATACAACAAATTCAAATTCAAAACCAACAAGTAAGAGTGCACAAGTCGGGAGTACCCGATCTATTAAGAGCATTGATAGCACAAATACCCTAATATCGCCAGATCACCTTGGATGCTTACCAAGAATACGTATAACATAAGGGGTTGGAGTTGCTTCCTACAGCCTGTTACATATATTTTCATATATATAGCCCGTTATAACCTTTATGCCCATTTCCACCGCGTTCAGAGTGTAAAGAGCTGATAAGAAATAGTCATAACTGAAACTACTTGATGGGGCTTAACCTTCACTAGCATTTGTAAGTCAATTGGCCATGTTTTCTTGGTCTTTAAGCAGAATAAATTCAAATATACGATGCATCGAAAGGTTATTGTAATTTTTGTATGCCCACCTGACCAAATGTGTACGTGCCTGGCATAGGGTAGATCGCAGAAAAAATCATCGAGGCTCGTTTACAACTATATAATAAGAACAGAAACTAGGCTAGAAATACCTGGAAAATTAGAGAAGCCAAACAAATTTGAGACGCACTCAAATATTACGCATACGCTCCGTGTGCAAACAAACTTAATATGCAAACGCTGTTGTGGCTGGAATACATTTAGTAAATGTGCCACTGTTTCCTTCCTTGCTGCCTACGAAATTACCACAGATTACAAACTTAATGCATTTCAAAGTTTTGGTGTAGGACGAGGTAAAAGTTTTCGGCTTGCTTCATCGTAAATCTTTGAAACCCATCTTCAACTTAATGCGAAATGCGTTGATTTTTTAAGCACCCTCTTTTCGGGAAATTAACTTCATTATCTTCACAAAATAAAATGCACACAAAATGGCGCCCAACCAAGCAAAATGCCGCCCTAGGTAGGCTTCCACCGCCAGGTGGCGCTCGGCCTTGTCTTGCGGTATTCATATGTATACATATTTATTTCTTGTTGGTTTTCTTTTCGGTTTGTTTTTTTTTTTGGGTTTCAGGTCACGTAAACGAGAGTAAGGAGGCTCCAGCCCCCGGCTCAGATTGTGTCTGCGACCCATTTAATGGGTTGGCCAGTCACGCCGCCATTTACACGATTTTTATTTATTTTGTAAGCCGCTTCGGCACAGACTGCTAATTTTCCGAAGTTCACGCTTGAAGGCAATGACAAGAAAGAGCTGACCGAACTTTAGTTTTTGATACAGATACAGATATATACATTATTTCAAGATTTGAGATTGATTACCAAACAGTTCCTTTTATTAATTTTTTTTATGACAGGCAAATATGCATAGTGCTATTTTAAATACTATATATTGATTTATAACTGTGATAAACGGGAGCAATTGGATGTAAATTACTTTGCCAACGTATTAAAGAACTGCGTCCTAAAGGGCAGACTGCCGGCAACCAGATAGATATTGTATACATATAAATTTATAAAGATTTAAATTTATTTGACACTAAATAATATTGCAGCAGCTAACTTACTAGAGCGAAGGTCAAACGACACTCGAAGGAAACTATCAGTCCCCGAATCACATAGTCGCAAAATACCCCAGCTAGTTGCCACATTGAACTTATACCTCGGAGTAAAATTGTCGTTAAATAAATAAAATATAAATAATACACAGCGCAATTTATTCCTATTTCCTAAAGAACAGTATGATACTATGCCACAGTATCTTTCCTTTTACAGCAATCGCTTTCTAGTGCGTACTGTTATGGATTAAAGTCTTATTGAGGGAACTGTTCTGATTTTTATACCCATTGAACCCATTAAAAATGGTTTTAAGTGTAGGTCCTCCTAGTGGCTGCGCAGATCGAGTTTGCTTCCGATAATCGATGACTTACTCCGTTTCCAAGCAATCGATAAAAATCGATATCGAAATCATGTTTTTTGGGCAATTTTTCTAAATAATGAGAGCTAAAGTCACCAAACTTGACATATAGCTTCTAAAATAGAATATATATGTATGCATTTGATGTTGAAGGAAGAGGGTTCAGGCTATCCCCTAGTCGGGAGCTCTCGACTAGAGCCTCTTACTTGTTTTAAATTTATTTTTATACCCTTGCAGAGGGTATTATCATTTTGTCGTGATATGTGTAACGCATCATGAAAAGGTTGGGTCTGCAAGGGTAATCAGATCTTTGGCGTGCCGAAGATAGCCTTTCTTTCTCGTTATTACTGCTTTAGCAAACGAGCTCGTAGCGCGAGAGGGTTCAGGGTATCCCCTAGTTGGGAGCTCCCGACGATACTTACTTGTTTACATTCAGTTCCAGCGTGAATTAGGACATTACCAACCCTACCCTCGCGTATTTGCTTTTGTTTTGACGCAGCTCGTTCTTAATTTGTGGCTAACAGGTTCAAGTTTCATTTCAGGGCATGTTTTTGTGGTAGAGAGAAATGCACATAAATTTGAAGCACACCATGAGTATTGCCCTGAGTTGAAAGCTAATAATAATTTCACTTCAGTTTTTTATGAGTAAATTAAAAAGCTAACCCCAGTCGTTTTTTGCTGTTGTTTGGCATTCTGGTCGTGTCCTGCCCACACCACAACCACACCTACTTACCTATAATATGGCTGGCCGGGGAAGTTGTCAGGGCCAAGGCGACGGCCAGCAGCAAGGATGTGAGCTCAAATTTACAGTCAGCGAGTCGGAGGTGTTTTGATGTCTGCTGCAACACTGCGTATGCGTGATTTGTGTGTCTTATCAATCACGTCTAATGGAATTTCTTCTTTTTTTGTGGTGGGGTGGCACGGGCATACTTGAGGCAGACAAAGTTCTCTAATAATTTATAATAAGTTCCCAGATTCTGGGACCCCAAATTGAAAAGTTTTCCCAATGACTTTTACATGCGAGCACACACACATATATATTCTTGATAACTTATGACAAGGCAAATAATTTAAGGGACACCTAAACAGATTCCACAATCAGAGCCGCATATGGCGGCAAACTCAGGCTGCTCAACGTGACGCTGGCGCTGCAGAAATTGAAATAAAAGTCAGCTTTAAATTGAGCTATTGATTAGCGAACTTACCCCACAGTTGCCTGGGCTTGCGGATTGAGCAGCGTAATCTTGTAGCTGCCGGAGGCATAGAGCGCGCTGGCCACGTCTACGCCGCTGACACTGGTACCCAGCACATTGGCAACTAGCACATAGGTGGGCTGTCCACTTAACGATCTCTTGATGGCCACTACGTTGTCGTTGACGGCTGCATAACGAGTGGCTCCGTACTGGAGTGTCTTGGACTGACGCAGCTGCACGAGCAGCTTGTACAGCTTGAGGTGACTGGAGTTGGCGGCACTCTCTGTCTCCACATTGACGGTCACATAGTTCGGATTGATGGGCAGCCAGGTGGTGCTGTTGCTGGAGAAGCCAGCGTTCTGCTCGCTGCTCCACTGGAAGGGCGTTCTGGCGGGATCTCGCGTGAACTGCTCGTAAATGTTCTCATTAGAATTGCAGGCAGCCGGATCACGCGTGTCTTCCCAGCTTATATCCAGATCCGTCATGCCCAACTCCTCACCCTGGTACGTAATGCTCACCCCAGGCAAAAACATTTGCAGCATATTCATCAAATCGATGCGATCCTCTCCATAGCGACTGCCCACGCGACGCTGGTCATGGTTTCCCATCTAAGAAAAGAGGCAGATTGAAAGTTAGGCGCTGCATAATGACATAGTACATATATAGAATCGAAAGTAGTACTATATTATACTTAAATGAATAATGCTCTCTGATGTCTGATACTGCATAGATTATAATAATATTTAATATATAGTCCTAAATACTTACCACCCAGTTTGCTGTCTGGCCCGCTGGCATCTGGCTTAGCCAGCTATTAATGATCTTCACAAAGCCGACAGCATTCAGTTCCGTGTTGTTCTTATCGCCTTGCCCGCCGACAATAAATTGAAAATTGAAGGGTATTTGAGCGCCCTTTGTGGTGCGATTGCCATAGAACTTCATTACATAGTCCACGGCCGAATAGGTCTCCACCATAAGGACGCGCGTATCGCCGCCATGTATGCGCTTGTAGTCATCGAGCAGCTGCCGCCACTGATACACCATGTCCACGGTTTCGGGTTGATCCTGGGTATATATGTGCTTCAGGTAGGACGAATCATCTGGGTCATCCGTATAGCCGCTCAGCGGCTCGTCAGGGTACCGACCCTGAGCGTCGGGCACCACCTCGAAGCACCAGGGCACGGCGTCGATGCGAAAGCCGGCAACGCCACGATCCAGCCAGTAAGTGAGGACGCGCTTCATTTGGGCCACCACCGCGGGATTGCGATAGTTAAGATCGGGCTGCTTTACAGCAAACTGATGCAGGTAATATTGGCCACGTTGCTCGTTCCACTCCCAGGCGCTGCCTCGGAAGGCCTGCAGCCAGTTGGACGGCGGTTCACGCTGGCCAGTGGTGGCATTCAAGTAGCCATCGTGCCACACATAATAATCCTCGTAGCCCTTCTCGCGACGCACTGATTTTTGGAACCAGACGTTCTCATCACTCGAGTGGTTGGGCACAAAGTCGAGTATGATCTTAAGTCCACGTTCGTTTGCAGCCGCAATGAGCTCATCAAAGTCCGTTAGAGTGCCGTATTCCGCCTGAATGTCAAAGAAATCGGCTATGTCATAGCCAAAGTCAGCCATGGGCGAGGTATAAATGGGCGACAGCCAAGTGGCCGTAACGCCCAGATCCTTGAGATAATCTAGCTTGGAAATGATGCCCTGCAAATCGCCGATACCATCGCCATTCGAATCCTTGAAGGAGCGTGGATAGATCTGATAAAACTGTGCCACCTGCCACCAATCGCGAGTAGCTTCACTGCTGCTGCTGCTGCTCGCGCTCTCCAGATCGACAGCAGCTGTCTGGCCCAGGCCGCACTGCAGCCCCAAGCACAGCAACGTGACTAACAACTTTAATAAATGCGCCATAACTGATTAAATGCGCGATTTCGCAGAGCTATATATACTCATCGTGCTCCCCAGCGAACGTTCCAATTAGATTGATAAGCATCAAGTGCATCGAATGTTTGTAAACATTTATTTGGCTATGAGTATTCACATTATTATAAATGACTACCACCTGCGATTGAGTGCGAGAACTTGACAATAGTTCAGATAGAGTACCACTTGAGCCAACACCAGATAAATGCCCAGCACAGGCAACTTACGATGTTCTCCATTCACATAGTACGTGTAATAAGTCGATGTGCTTCTCAGAATCAACGACTCCTTGGGAAGCAGCTGCAGAGAGCTGCTATCGATGAGATCACTAAGGAAATACAGATGTGAAGACAAATATTAATATATCAGGTCGCTTTGAGCAGAGATCACTTAGCATAAAAGTCTAAAATTTAGATTAAACATCTAAAAAGCCTTAATTCTCTAGAAGTAATAACTTATTAAGAAACTAAAGATAATTAATATTGTTAACTATTTTCATTTGGGGATGTCAGCTATGGCAAAAGATATAATACTATCAAAGGTTCCAAGTCTTTAGCAAGTCTAAGAAACGGACAAAAACATATATAAGCTCGCTCTCATCCAATTATATAGAAAACAGGATTGAAATGTAAATTACAATCTAAACATGTCGATTGTTAATATATGTTAGATATATAAGGGTGTAAATATACTTATGTGGAGAGGAATGTTAAGAAATTTGCTTCATTTTAATGAAATGAAATGGGCGGAGGATGTAAGTCTCACTATTTTTGCTGTCTGCAAATTGGAATTTAATAAAAATATATTTTATATAATATAATGAAGGGATAAATTTAAATACATATATTTCATACTGGTCATATTTGGTGTGTTTACTTACGTATGCTTATGTAGAGTATTCTTAACATATGAGTCTCTAATTAAATATTACCAAAGACATAATTAATATATAAACTACTTACTCCACTTTACGCTTGGAGTTGCCTGATACCAGCACCACCTCCATTTGAGCTGTCAAATCCGATAAGCTCTGATTCAGATTAACTGTTTCAAAACCATCGAAGATGTTTAGCAATGTCACATAGGTGAAGTCATTCTCTCGGAAGCTATGAAAAGAATATGCTGACAAATTACAAATGATTCGCTTTGCAAACATAGTGCACCCACCGTTTCACGGCCAGAACTGCTCCACTTAAGGCCTTTACCTCAATATTGCCCAGTTGCAGAGTTTTCTCCGTTCGTTTGAGTTTCAGCAAATCCTTGTAGATATTGAGATGGCTCAGTGGCTGTTGGCGCTCTTGGTCCACGTTAACCTGCTTGTAATCTCCGGCAATGGGCAGCCATGTCTTGCTAGCATTGCTGAAACCGGCATCGGCATCGCCGCTCCACTGGAAGGGTGTGCGCTCGGGATCACGTGAGAAATGTTCATAGATGCTGGCATTCGTATTGCAGGCCGAGGGATCAACGGTGTCCTTCCATGATATCCACACATCTGTCATGCCCAGCTCCTCGCCCTGATAGGTAACACTGGCGCCCGGTAATGTGGTGATCAGCATATTCAACATATCCACGCGATCGGCGCCAAGACGCGAGCCCACACGCGACTGATCGTGATTGCCCAACTGTGAATATTGAAAAGAAAAACCTTAGCAGGGGATAAAGCACAAGGGGACAGTAGGAAACCTACCACCCAGTTGGCTGTGCGACCCTGCGGCATGTGCTGTATCCACTTCTGTATGGTTTGAGCATAGTCCACCGCGTTGGACTTGTTTGAGATTTCGGTTATCAGCAGAAAGTTGAACGGCAGCTGAGCACCCTCTGATGTTGCATTGCCATAGTACTGCATCACAATATCGATGGGTGAATAGGTCTCCGCAAGCAAGATTCGCTCGTCGCCATCTTTGAACTCATCGAGCACGGCACGCCATTCGTACACCATGGCCAGTGTCTCCGGCTGATCCACCGTATAGATGTGCTGCAGATACCCGTAGTCATCGGGATCATTGACCCAATCGTTGCGCGGTTCGTCGCGATACTGACCCGCAGCATCGGGCGCTATCTCAAACACGCTCGGCACTGCATCAATTCGAAAGCCGGCAACGCCCTTGGCCAACCAAAAGCGCAGCACATTCTGCGAGAAAAGAAAATAGTGGAAAAATCAGAGACGGTTCATATTGGACATTGCCAATAGAGATTAACTTGAGACCCAGCCAAGGTCTCTATTGCTGGGCAAGAATAAGTCAAGCCTAGACTATTTAATTTAAGATTAGTAGATATCTTTAACCCACCTTCATGGTCTCCCGCACTTTGGGATTTCGATAGTTAAGATCGGGTTGCTTTTTGAGAAATTGATGAAGATAATACTCTTTGCGAGTCTCATGCCACTCCCAGGCGGAGCCGCGGAACACGCTCAACCAGTTGCTAGGCGGTTGGCGAGTGCCGTTAACCATACGCCCGGCATGCCAAACATAGAAATCCTTGTACTCCACCTCGCCTGCCGCCGATCGCTTAAACCAGTCGCACTCATCGCTCGAATGATTGGGCACAAAGTCCAAAATGATTTTCATATCCAGTTGCTTGGCGGTCTTCATGAGTCGCTCGAAGTCGGACATAGTGCCAAAGATAGGCGCTATTTCGGTGAAGTTGGCAATGTCGTAGCCAAAGTCCGCCATGGGCGAGTTAAAAATGGGCGATAGCCAAGTGGCCGTAATGCCCAATTCCTTCAGATATGGCAGACGATCCGCAATGCCTAAAAATGTTTATCACTTTCAGAATCTCTTTTACTTGTTGCTTTATTCTTTCGCTCTGGTTCACCATTCAGATCGCCCACGCCGTCGCCATTGCTGTCCTTAAATGACCTTGGATAGATTTGATAAAAGGCGCCGGCTTGCCACCACTTGGGCTCAGTTCTACGGTGATCGATGTCCACAAAGTCCGCATGATAGTTGGGATAGGGCTGACTCAACGCCGGGCCAATAAACTGCAGCAGCAGCAGCATCAGCAAAGCTTTCACTGAGATCAGCATATTCTGATAGCTCCTCTATGATCGGCTTCGCCACAGAAACTGTCTCCGTTGGAACTGAATGCAACGAACAAACAAAAGCGACTGACGATTGCAAGCGAAACACTTGAAGATCATGCAAATTCACAGACTGTCCGCTAACGCCACCTCCACTAGTGCTCTCCTGAGCATATGAATTTGGTTTATTTGATTTATTTTTAGCGTACGTGCTCTCCGTACCACCTGAGCCGCAAAGAGAGGACTTACGAATTGATAGAAACATGAAAAAACAGAGAGCACAGCAACACATTTACTCTCAAACATATAAAAAGTATATTCGAATGGGCACAGTGGGTGATCGGAATAAAATAGTTCGGAATGGGGATAATTTATGGTTTTACGGACAAGATTATAAATAGGCTAATAAGATCGTTTTAATGTAATGCTATATTCAAGGAGATTTAAGTATTTTAAACTTTTTCTTTGTTAGGTAAACTAAATAAGGAAATACTCGAATTTTGCATATTGTATAGATATATAATAATATATATATTGGTTTGTATAGAAATAGAAGGAATTAACTTATCATTTTAATATATATTTATGTTTATTTTTAAATGTACATGTACATACAGAACCCACTGTGCATACAGTTGCAATATTTGGCGTTAATTCGATCATTATTCTAATTTGCTCTCTCAGTTGACACTACAGCTGCCGGCATATTTTTCTGCTGTTGTTTGTATACCCTGTACTCAACTTATTTAAGAGGATTGCCAACCTTAAGAACTAGCAAATATTAATATCTTCGGATGGTATTATTTATTTAATTTATTTGTGGTAGAAGCGATAGATGTAGATTTATAAAATTATTAAGTGGTTGTTTGTATTATTTTCTGATAATGAAAAATACTTGATTGCCCAACTAGTATCTTTACAAATTAAAACCTCTTTTTCCTTTTCGTTTCTAGGGTGTTTATTCGATAGCGTCGAAGCTTGTTTACATTTATTTGTCGATAGACTGATATGGGAATATATGTACATTCATATACACATATACATACATAACTGTTTATCACAGCACTTTTAGCGACAAGAATAAATGCATGATTCAAGCGCAAATAAATTCAGATTTTAGTCGAAGATAAGCTTAATCAGTTTAAATAAAAGTCCAAAACATAAATCCTATCGAGATAAATCCATTTTTTATTTCGCACAACTCTTGATATTCTGTGCTGGCTTAGATGGTTGTTGTGGAGCGCAGAACAACGGCCTCATGGGGCATAAGCGTGACACTGCTGGCGGGGACCTTGTCGCCTAGCTGTTTGATGGACTTGTCGGTGACCAGGGCATACTGGAAATTGTCAGGCAGCCCGCTGAATACGTCATTCAGATTCACATTTTCAATATTATCGAAAATGTTAAAAAGTGAAATGTACACGTAATTGCCACTCAGATAGCTGTCAGAGATATGGTGTGATAAATATACTGGGGCTTATTATAAGAGGGCTTCACTTACCGCTTGACCGCCAAGACATAGCCACTGACAGCCTTCACCTCAGCGGCTCCCTGCTCAATGGTTGGCTCCTGGCGTAGCTGTTGCAAACGCTTGAAGACATTTAAATGGCTGAGCGGGGCACCGCGCTCTGTCTGCACATTGCGCTGGGCATAGTCCTGGGCAACTGGCAGCCAGGTGTCGCTGCCGCTGGTGAAACCAGCCAAGTTACCATTTGTCCAGTGCATGGGCGTTCTGGCGGGATCCCGGGACATCGCCATGTAATTCTCCTCGTACCCATTGCAGGCCTGAGGATCCACTGTATCTTCCCACGAAACATACCCATCCAGCATGCCCAGCTCCTCGCCCTGGTAGGTGATACTGCAGCCGGGCAGCGTGAGCAACAAAATGTTGAACAGATCAACGCGATCGGCACCAAACCGTGAACCGACGCGGTTCTTATCGTGATTGCCAATCTGTGCGCCGTATAGTCAATTGATTTGATATGCGATTAATCACATGGTTGTAGGAAGCCTTTGTAGTCAACTTACCACCCAGTTGGCACTCTTGCCGGTCGGCATTAGCGATAGCCAGTTGTTGATCAAGTACTCGTAGTGATAGGCATCGGAGTCCATGTGCAGATTACTTATCAGCTGGAAATTGAAGGGTATCTGTGCGCCCTCGGCTGTCTCGTTGCCATAGTAGTGCATTACAATCTCAATGGGGGACCAGGTCTCCACCATGAGTATGCTAAGTGTAGCAAGTGCAATTACTAAGTCTACATTCCGAAAAAGCGTTTAATTAACTTACCGTTCCTCACCGCCGTTTTCCTTCTGGAACTGTTCCAGAATCTCACGCCATTCGTACACCAAATGCGGCGTCTCGGGCTGGTCGACCGTGTAGACTTTGTGGGTGTAGCCGTACTCGTCGGGATCATTGGTCCAGTCGTTGCGAGGCTCGTCCGGATAGTTGCCATTTTCATCGGCTTCAACCTCGAAAGCGTGATATATGGCGTCCACGCGGAATCCGTCGACGCCTTTCTCCAGCCAGAAACGCAGAATATTGTTCATTTCCTCGCGGACGACGGGATTGCGGAAGTTAAAGTCCGGCTGCTTCTTGTGGAACTGATGCAGATAATATTCCTGGCGTCCCTCATGCCATTCCCAAGCCGAGCCACGGAATACGCTCACCCAGTTGGTTGGCGGCTTGCGTTCGCCGTTCTCCAAAAAGCCCGGATGCCAGATGTAATAATCCTTGTACTTCTCTTCACCGGCAGCAGAGCGAATAAACCAGTCGCATTCGTCGCTCGAATGATTGGGCACAAAGTCCAAGATGATTTTAACATTTAGCTGCTTGGCACGTGCTACCATGTTCTCAAAGTCTTCCATTGTGCCGAAGAGAGGATCCACTTCCTTAAAGTCCGATATATCGTATCCAAAGTCAGCCATAGGTGAGCGCAGGAACGGCGACAACCAAGTCGCTGTCACACCAATCTCCTTCAGATACTCCAGCTTCTCGGTAACACCATTCAGATCGCCAACGCCATCTCCATCGCTATCCTTAAAAGAGCGAGGATAGATTTGATAGAAGGAGGCCGTCTGCCACCACGGCGCAGCCGCATCCACGGCCAACAGGCCTAAGCCCAGTAGTAAGGCAATGCTAGACCAAGTAGTCATTTCAAACTAAAGGAGCCCCGAGGTCCATCGACCTATTATATGCCTTCAGCTGCTATCGATAATGCTCGAATCTAAATTGTAAAACAATTGGCATTAGCGCTTATCGTTGTTTTTCGAGAAGTGTGGGCCCTCTTCACTAGGGGGTAAGTCCAGTGATTTATGAAACTAAATGGAAAAAATTGGGATTCGCGTACTTTTTTAAAGATGTAGAAAACCTCTTAGGCTTCGATTTTATGAAGCTTAGATTTAATTTATAAATAATATTGCAAAGAACTGTTGGAATAGGTTAGTACTGAAAAGATAGTACATTAGACAACTTTATAGATTTATTTACAGTGTGCAGAACAAGATGGAATTGACAATTAGGCTGATTTATTTATAAAAGATAGACAGGGTTTTTCCCTCGATAGCAAACCATATTTAAAACTTTTTCTACTGACCAATCTGATCAGTTTTATGGGTGAGGGACTTTTATAAATTGAATGTGGGTGGAATTCTTTTGTATACAAAGTTTTAGTGTGTCATTCCAATTGGAAATTTATTTGCTGCAAGAATATATTTTAACAAAAAATATTATGGTCTCTATCTAGACATTTGTTTTCATTTTCTTCTTCATTTAGCTGCTCTATTAATGTACTGGATGGCGCTTGATGTGCACATACTTAAAAAATATCCCCAGCAAATTGGACTCATAAATTTAACATAAGAACAGCAGTTGTTCGGTCTTGGGCTGAGTCATATTTTTTATGCATTTACGAAATTAATTTGCTGCTTATCTGTCTCATGATCTGCAAACGTGAAACCAGAATAATAGCGATAATGAGTGGCTCTCATAAATACCTACGCCCGTTTTCTTATGGAAGACCAGGCTGAAAACGCTTCGGTCGTAAACATATCAGGCCTAGACCTTCAGATCTAATCAGTGGTCGATAGTTTGCATTATTGGGGGCTTATCACGGCCTAAGCTTATCATCGCTGCTCGCTGCATGGGGCCTAGTGCATAAATAAGGCTACCAACTAATCCGCAGTCGTAGTCAGTATTGCGACAACATGTTGACCAAATCTCTGACACTGTGCTGCCTGCTGGCACTTGTGCTGCCCACGCTCGCCGAGGTGGGTTGGTGGCGCACGGCGCAGTTCTATCAGATCTATCCGCGATCCTTCAAGGACAGCGATGGCGATGGCGTTGGCGACCTTAATGGTAGGTGAGAACAATAAAAGCTGATAAAAGTGTCATTTTGATTTGCGTGCAGGTATTACGCAACAGCTGGCCTATCTGAAAGAGATCGGTGTTACAGCCACTTGGCTGTCGCCGATTTTCACCTCGCCCATGGCGGACTTTGGCTATGATGTGGCCGACTTCTACGACATTGACCCGCTCTTTGGCAACATGGAGGACTTTGAAAAGTTGTTAGAGCGCGCCAAGCAACTGGACATCAAAATCATTTTGGACTTTGTGCCCAACCACTCGTCCGATGAGTGCGACTGGTTTATACGCTCTGCAGCGGGTGAGGAGGAGTACAAGGACTTCTATGTGTGGCATACCGGCAAGGTGGTCAATGGCATCAGGCAGCCACCAACGAATTGGATAAGCGTATTCCGCGGCTCTCAGTGGACTTGGCACGAGGGTCGCCAGGCGTACTATCTGCACCAGTTCCTTGCCAAGCAGCCGGATCTCAACTACCGCAATCCAAAGGTTGTGGAGGCCATGAAGGATGTCCTTCGTTTCTGGCTGCGCAAAGGCGTCTTTGGCTTCCGCATCGATGCTGTACCGCATGTCTTCGAAGTCGCGCCCGACTCCAACGGCGATTGGCCCGATGAACCAAGAAATGAGTATGTTAGCGATCCGGAGGATTATTCCTATTTGGACCACATCTATACCACAAACCAGCCCGAAACCATTGATTTGGTTTACCAATTCCGCCAGGTCATCGAAGAGATTGACCAGGAGCTGGGTGGTGATGATCGTATTCTCCTCACCGAGGCATATGCCCCCTTGGATGTGCTGATGCAGTACTACGGCAACAGCACCCACAATGGCTCCCAGATTCCGTTCAACTTTGAGCTGCTCTCAAACATTAACTACAACTCCGATGCATATCATTATTCGGAGCTGTTGCATAATTGGCTGGACAACATGCCTGCCGATAAGGTTGCCAATTGGGTGCTGGGCAATCATGACCAGAGCCGCATTGGCACGCGCCTGGGCGCCGATCGCATTGATGCTATCAACATGCTGCTGCTGACGCTGCCCGGCATCAGTGTCAATTACCAAGGAGAAGAATTAGGCATGGAAGACGTCTGGATCAGTTGGGAAGACACTGTGGATCCGCAGGCATGCCAGTCCAACCAACAGGAGTTCGAGCGCCTCACACGCGATCCCGTCCGCACGCCATTCCAGTGGAGTGATGAGGAATTTGCTGGTTTCACTAATGGATCCAGCACCTGGCTGCCTGTTTCGGACAAATATAAGCTGGTGAATGTGAAGCGGGAGCGTGGCATTGCTCTCAGTCATCTGAACATCTACAAGCAGCTGCGAGCTCTGCGCGATGAACCCACCCTGAAACAGGGTGATGTCACGGTCAATGCCATTGGACCCAATGTGCTGGCCTTCAAGCGGTTAGTGTCCATATTTTTCAACTAAGACCCATACCGGGCTAAGCATAATTAATACCTATCCACAGCTCTCTCGCCGGTCACAAGTCATACATTACTGTCATTAACATCAACGATGATGTCGAGTCGGTTAATCTGGACTCTGTTTTTACGGAACTCAGCTCACAGCTGAGCTATGTTGTGGTCAATGACAAGAGTGCGCGTCGCAAGAAGTAAGCTATACTTTCAAGATAATGTTAATTTACTCTACAAATTTTCATTTTTCTCTCGTTAATTTTTCTTTCTTATTTTCTGTAGTGATGTGACCTATGCCAATTCGGTGCTGTTGATGCCCAAGGAAGCCATTGTCCTTAGCACTATTTAATTTCCTATTTTCCAAAACTCATTTAGCTTATATTATATTTCGTGACAATCTCTAAGACCAAAAGATGTTTGAAATACAGATTACAAAAAATAAAAGATCATACAAAAATTATACACTCTTTTAATAGATTTGTAACTCCGCTTTTAAAATAGTTTGTTATATCAGCTTATCAGCGTATTAAGTTTATTCAATTAACATTATCAAACTTTAAAATGGGGAAGTTAAGTGCTCTACAAGCCTTATCTTACCTTATCTTCCACGCCAATGGAAAACATTTGGTCAGCAAATGATCGCTGTTCATGGTACCTAGTTGACCTATATATCCTTGGTTATTCCATATCATGGATGCAGTCTTAGCGAACCTAAAGGACCAAGTTCTTGCAAAATGCTTATGAACAGGGTCCAAAAATATGTATACTTTTCTTTTACAGCCGCCCCCAGCAGCAGCCCCTCCCCCTGAATGGTTGCTAGTTGACTAGGATATCCTTGGTTATACCATACCATCGATATAGTCCTTGGGAACCTAAAGGATCAGATCCTTGCAAAATGTGCATTGAAATGGTCCAAAAACATGTATGCTTTTTTTTCAGGAGCCCTTTTACATTAGCTGCAGCTGCAGCTGTTATTTAACAGGCAGCTTACAGCACTCATTTTACATATTCTGCTAATTAACAGCACTCATTTAATTGAGCTACATTTTCGCCCCTTGATGCTATGCAATGAAAATTTTTATTCAAACCACTCGGCGACCTTCTGGGCATTTCTGTTCGCCTGGTATTTTAGTGGAGTTTTAGGGCAAATTTGGGGCGTAGCCGCGGACCAGGGCGCCCCGTGAGGGTATGCAACGAATTTTTTCGGCAGCTAAAAATATTTTTTGTCGACCTTCTGGGCATTTCTGTTCGCCTGGTGTTTTTCGGAAATTTTAGTTAAATTTTGGGACCCAGCCGATGGAGATATGACGTTCCAACGACATAACTCCAGCGCCAGCGGTTGCCAATGGAGATATGACGTTCCAAAACGACATAACTCCAGCGCCAGCGGTATGCAATGGATATCTAAAAACCGTTGATTTTTAAATTTTTAAATAAAAAAACAGGAATTTCGCTTTTATTTTAAATTTATTTATGTTTCAATTTATAAAATTGCTGTTTTTATGCTAATTTTCTTAATTATTTCTCTTAAAATTATACAAAACGAGCATAATTTATAATTTTAGCTTATTTAAACTTAAATTAACTAAATCTGGCCTTAATTAAGTCCGATCCTTAAAAAAAAAAAAAAAAAAAAAAAAAAAAAAAAAAGAAAGATAGGCTGAAGCATTTAAAAAACAAAAAATAGCGATTGGTCGACGAACGACTACTAAAACAATTATATCGATTAGTCGGAAATGGGAAAAAAATCAATAGCCCTAATAAACTTTATCAGCGTATGTTAAATGAGAGATTCGGGTCTCTACTAACACCAAAAACTTGGGGCTGGAAATCGACTATTTCTTATCGATTTTAATTTACGTGCATAAATCTCATTCTCAGAAGACAGAAATTCTGTTCATCTATAATTTACATCTTGAGCCCATATTAAGAAGCTGTTGTAAATAGTTTATTGAAAAACTCATCAAGTGGTGAAGTTACAATTCTTTCGAGTAATTGCCCACTCAAAGTCGAATTGGACTTTGTATTTATTACACAGTTTCCACTGGCATGTGGCGAAAAACTGTTGTTATAGTCAGGCATATGGCTGTAGGCCCATTTTTAAATTTAATCTTTATGAGGATCATAAAATGCACTGATTAGGCTAAGCAAAACTCCGTGAATCAAGCCAACCACCGCAGCACGATTGCTTCATAGGGCATTAGCACCAGTATTTCTTTCAGATCAATCGTCTCCCTGTAATAATTATCGTTATCATGGAAGGCAGCCTACATACTAGACATACTTACCCTGGTGTGTGCAAGGAGTAGGCGGTTACAAGCACATACTCATAGACCTTATTAGACAGACCCTCGAGAATTTCGATGCTATTACCCATGTTGACGAAAATACGGTACTCCTCACTGCGTTTATTGGTGCTGTAACAAAGTTAATGTATATGAAACTATATTTCTAAAGCAGTAACTCATCACTTACCGTATAATCTGGAGTACCTGCTCTGTGACCGCCTCGTAGGAGAAGCCACCCTCTTCCTTGAAAGCCAGAAAGGCAGAGCTGCTCTTCAGCTGCTGCAGACCCTTAAATATTTGGAGCGAGGAACGCGCCACGCCTCTTTCGGTTTGCACATTGTAACGCGCATAGTCGGGACTGACGGGCAGCCAGGTATTTTCGGCTGTTGAGAAGTCGGCGTTCTTCACTGGAGCCCATTGCATGGGCGTTCGCTCGCCATCGCGGTCGTCGCAGGAGATCTCCGTGCACTCAGTCTCTACATTGGACATGCCGATCTCCTCACCGTAGTAGGTGACCGAGGCACCTGGCAGCGCGTTCACAATCACATTGAGCAGATCCACTTTGTGTACGCCCATGCGATTGGCCACGCGTTGTGTGTCATGGTTGCCCACAACCCAATTGGCTGTCTGATGTTCCGTCCACATGGTCTGCATCCAGTAGTCAATTGAACCGACCACATCCTTTGCAGTCGAGTAGCCGCTGAGATACATCAGCTGGAAGTTCATGGGCAGCTGTGTGCCGAGCCGCGTTCCATTGCCAAAGTAGGCGCTCAGGGTTTCTACCGGACTGTAGGCCTCTGCGAGCAGTACTCGGGTCGATCCGCCATGCTGTGCCTGATACTGTACCAGGTAATCGCGCCACTCGTACATTAACTGCACTGTTTCTGGTTGGTCCTTGGTGTAGATATGATCTAGATAGTCGTAGCTGTTTGGATCGTTATTCCAATTGCTGATGGGCTCGTCTCGATAGCTGCCGTCGGCATTACGATGTTCGTAGATGTGTGGCACGGCATCAATGCGAAAGCCGTCGACGCCACGGTCTAGCCAGAAGCCCAGCACGTCCAGCATGTGCTCACGCACCATGGGATTACTAAAGTTCAGATCGGGCTGCTTCACCTGAAACTGGTGCAGGAAGTACTGCTGGCGTACTCCATTCCACGTCCACTGTGAGCCCCCAAAAACGCTCACCCAGTTGCTGGGCGGCTCGCGTTCACCCGTCTCCTCATTCAGCTTACCGTCGTGCCACACATAAAAGTCATCGTAGCCGTCCTGGCGATTAATAGACTTTTGGAACCACTCGCACTCATCGCTTGAATGATTGGGCACAAAGTCCAATATAATCTTCAGGTCCAGCGCCTTGGCCTGCACCATCATGGCATCGAAGTCAGCTAGCGTGCCGAAGATAGGATCGACTTCTGTAAAGTTTGATATATCATAGCCAAAATCGGACATGGGTGACTTAAATATGGGCGATAGCCAAGTGGCTGTGATCCCGATTTCCTTGAGATAGCCCAGACGCTTTGTTATGCCATTCAAATCGCCAATGCCATCGCCATCGCTGTCCTGAAAGGATCGCGGATAGATCTGATAGAGCGCGGCATTCTCCCACCAATCAATGTCTGTCGAAGCTGCTGTGCCTATTAAAAGCGCCGCGAGCAGCCCAAGAAGTAATCGCGTTGACATTTCGCTCGCGTTTGAGTGTTGCAAAATCAATTAGTTAATAACAATTGCTTTTTTCCTTGTTGCGATAGGGATTGCAGCGATAAGGCTAAACTCAACAACGCCAGCGCACTCGAATATGGCATACATGGCCCACAGAGCACGTGGGTAATCTGCCCACTTTTATGACATTCTTGTTAGATTACACAAGTTGCGGTTGTGCTTTATAACACCCTCTTTCCAAAGTTATCAAGAGTGTATTGGACTTTTGCAATGCCAATGTGTTCTTCTGTCTATTAGAGGGAGTTTGCGCCTACTCTTTGCTTCACAAGAAGGAAAAATCTAGATACCTTTAATTTTAGACACGTCTATTATTTTTCGCACATTTGTGCCTTTTACTCATTTCCGAAGTCGTTATCAACTAAGATAAAAATTACCACTATCTTAAGCTTGAAACAGAGTAATTGCAAGCAATCTTGAATGTACCCTGTTCTCATCAATGTAGCATGCTAAAAATATAAATCATTAAACATAAATTGGTTCTGACTATCTGACTAACTGACCTTCGTAGGAGCTAGGAATTTGGAGTTTCCACTGTAGCGTAAGTGATGTAGGTGCACTTTAAGGCGGAGTTTCGGGAAATTCCACCCGAGAGTGTTTTTACGAATTCCGAATGTTTTGCAAGGTATCTTATAGTCGAACACTCTTGTGTGCCGGGGATATGCGTATGCGTCGATGTTGATGTCGATACACTTGCCAACTGGTTGTGTCCCCTGCGGAATCACCAAAGCTGCCATAAAGTGGTTTTATGTGACCTGAGCATAACATTCAGATACCCAGCGGCTTTGTCTTTTGCACTTACGACGGTTGACCGAAAGGTTTGCTGGACAGCGAACGGTTTTTAATGTCTTTAAACTGTTTAAAATAACAGTGTTTTCCCAGGTGAATCATCTCTAGATAGCGATCCAATTAAACCATTAAGAAATGCAAAGGAATGTCGCAAGTTCTGCTATTTATGACTTTAAAAGGAACAAAATGCTGATAATGTTTATCTGAGAAGAACATAAATTAGTCAAAAGTTCGCTGTCGCTTATAAATAAAAACTTGCCAGGCCGATAAATATTTTTAAATAGTCTCAGTTTCACATTGATTCACAATTAATGGGAAATAAGCCCAAAATGATGGCTAGGATGTTGACATACCACAGTCATTGTTTTTTTTTAATAGTAGTGTGGAATTGCCCTCGAATGATGCATGACAGAACGGAACATAAAGATTTATCCTTGACGCAATAAAAGCCAACGGTCGAAAAGCTCATGTACGTGTCCTTCTGGCCTCTTGACAGCTGTCAACTGTGACCGACGACCGCTCACTTGACATTTCAAAAGTGCTCGACTTTATTTTGACAAATTTTTTGCCAGCCCCCGGCCATTAATAACTTGATGTGCTTTTAAATAAATTACATTGCTTAAAATTTATACTTAGTTAATTAATGACTGGAATTAAACGTCCAAATGTGCACCCAGGATAAGGCTAACCAAAATTCTTTATAGCAAATTTCATTCTACACGTTCTCCACATGGATAGCAACACATTTGCTTTAGCCTCATCAGGGTTACGGGGTAGCTACAGTGCCTGGCCCAGGGCGGTTCTATTTGTTTAAATTCAATTAATGTATTCGCGCTTATTTTGCCGCTTTAATTATTTTTTGATCAGGTTTTTGTGTATTTACGTTAATAAAAACACAAAAAATATACAATTTTTTAAAAGCAGTATTAGCTTTATGCAACTAAAATGTTTAAAATGTTAAGCCCTGCAGCCGAAAGCCATCAGATTTAGTAAAACATGCCAAATTTAAATGAAACATGCCAAATTTAAATACGAAACGAAATAAACAGATAGAGTCTACTCTGTAAGGTAACTAGCTGTAACTATTTCGATTCGGCATAAAATGAAAATAATATTTCAAATCGTTTCAATTCCAATTCCATATCAATTGGTAGAACAGTATTTTTTCCTTTATTGTGCTTGGTGACAACAAATTCGATGTTGAAAATAATTTTTGATTGTCCTAAGGCAAAAGGGCCTCAATTGAGTACACTTTGGTTTCAATTCGATAGGTTTTAATTTTAGTTTCCAATTTGTGTTCGAGTTGCTTACCTATTAATTACACCTTTTATTTATTTATTTTGGGATTTATATTATCCCGAAAAGTTTGATCGCAATCGATATCTAGAATAGATTCTATATATACTTTTGTATTTTTTATTTTTGAGCAATCTTTTTATAAGGACATACTCCAAGTTGTGTTCTATTTAGTCAACCATTAACTACTGTTACTTAAGATATACATAATTTTGCCTATTCTATAATTTTAAAAAATATTCAAAAGTATTTATATTTGTATATGGTTTGTTTTAAAGTTTTAAGATTAAACCCAGATCTATAAATAAACTAACACAGTTTTTAATGTCAATCATATTAAATTTAATAAAATTTATGTGAGGTCTAAGAACCCCATCTCGAACCAATTGTGGAAAATTTGCAATTTGATGATTACCAAACTCTATTGCCTATTAGAAACCGGATCTCGTTTAATTCAAGGGGCTTGTGACACATTGGAGCTCTGTTGTTTTGAAATGGAAACGGGTTTGGGCTTTGAGCTAAACTCGTTTGATTTGGCAGTTGTTTACCCACTAATGCATTGATTTTAATTTTAAGATTATAACCGTACATTGTTTTTTTGGGACTGTTTCTAAGCGAATATATTGGAAGGGGGCTCGACGGGTACATCAATAACTCAGAGCGATAACTTTTCGATGGGTACAAGTCGTAAACTGGACACAATTTATATAGGGCAACACCCACTGGAGTTGTATAAAAGCGTGTGCCTGGCCAAGGTGGAGCATCAGTCAACGTTTGTTCTCTACGTTCTACAACTGCACCACATCCAAATCAAGATGTTCAAATTCGTAAGTAGAGCGAACTGAATCAAAGGATCGGTAATGATTCCATACTAATCGATCTATCCTTAGGTGATGATCTGCGCTGTTATCGGCCTGGCCGCCGCTGTGCATCACCCAATAGAACATCGCCCAGTGCCCCACCATCCAGTGAAGGTATCGCACCCTGAGCCACACCCTGCACCACGCCCTGCACCACACCCTGCACCACACCCTGCACCACACCCAGTGCCCGTTCATAATAGCGAGGATGTTCACGCTGATGTTGTTTCCCGCAAGGATGACATTCGGCCAGATGGCTTCGACTCAAGCCTTGAGACCACCAACCACATCACTCGCTCAGAGAGCGGTGATGAGCATGGAAACATCCAAGGCAGCTTCGGCTGGATCTCCCCAGAAGGCGAGCACATTGATATCAAGTACGTTGCCGATGAGCACGGCTACCAGCCATCGGGCGCTGCCATCCCCGCTATCCCAGAAGCCATCGCACGCTCCATTGCATGGAACGAGGCGCATCCCCAAGCCCCCGAGCCCCACAACCCCCATAGCGTTCCCCATAGCGCTCCCCATGGCTCTCAACATTAAGGCAAATTCAGCTCCTAAGCTGATTGTTTATAGTGGACTTGGAACGTACAACGGACTAGTCTCAGATATTTCTCGATAGCATTTAAGTTCTTCACACCTAAACAATGTTTTTCTTAAATAAGTTTAATAAATATGTAGTTGCATCAAATTGAGTCCAGCATATTTGTATTTCATAGGTACAAAATAATATACATTTGCAGATCGATTTCAATCGGTATCATGTGGACTCATATAGAAATAAAGATATATTAAAAAAAAAACATACAAAAAAAATGCAATTGTGAACTGTTACATATTTTGCAATTTAGTTTCTAACGTAAGCTTGTGGCATAATTAGAAGCACTCAATGTAATTTTTATATTTAAAGTGCAATGAATGTTTCAACTATATCACACATATGAATATACTTATTAAACTGTGTCATTCGCAAGGTTATCCAACAATTATGAAAAATAGCTTACTCGTAAAAAAAATATTGTTTTAAACCTTAACTATTAAATGGCTCTTAGAGTTATCTTTTAATGGTTTGCCCTAGAAGTAAACCCTTTTGGTTTAAGTATTCTGACAATTCTTCGTTACTTCCTATCAGCTGATTATTGCCCAACTGACTAAAACCGCTGCACTTCAGTTACAGCAAAAACAACGAGAGAATTACTAATTTTCCACTATCACAAATCGCTGTTGGGTAACATTAAAATGCAATGCGAAATCACCTTTTTTGATTTCCCATAGTAAAGTGCTTAAAAACAATGACATTCGAGCGGGGTATTATTTTCAGCATGGAAGCGCATGAACCCATGCGGGCGAGCTGTTTACCCAGCAATCGAAATGCCCACTCCAAGTGGGCAAAAACTTATGGGGCATGATCTTATCAATCGGCATAAAAGGCCCTAGTCGGTTTTTAGTTTGAACAAATTTATTCAACATGCGATTGCTGACAGTTGTTGCGATCCTAGCTGCGGTGCTGGGCTTCGCTAGTGCCACTGAGTGGTGGGAAAGTGGAAACTATTATCAGATATATCCACGCTCTTTTCGCGATTCCGATGGAGACGGTATTGGAGATCTGAATGGTGTTACGGAGAAGCTGCAGTACTTGAAGGACATCGGCTTCACCGCTACTTGGCTGTCGCCCATTTTCAAGTCACCCATGGTGGACTTTGGCTACGACATTGCTGACTTTTATCAGATACATCCGGAATATGGCACCATGGAGGACTTTGATCGCATGATTGCACGCGCCAAGGAGGTGGGCATTAAAATAATCTTGGACTTTGTGCCCAATCACTCAAGTGACGAAAACGAGTGGTTCATTAAGTCGGTGAACAGTGATCCTGATTACAAGGACTTTTATGTCTGGCACGATGGCAAAATCAATGAGGAAACCGGAGAGCGTGAGCCTCCAAGCAATTGGAATTCGGTATTTCGGTACAGCGCCTGGGAATGGAACGATGTTAGGCAGCAGTATTATCTCCATCAATTTGCCACGGCGCAGCCGGACTTGAACTATCGTAATCCTGCAGTGGTCAACGAGATGAAAAATGTGCTCAGATTCTGGCTATCCAAGGGCGTTGCCGGATTCCGTATTGATGCAATACCCTATCTGTTTGAAATCGACCTGGATCGCTACAATCAGTATCCTGATGAGGCGCTCTCTAATGACACCAGCTGTCCTGATCCGGACGATGCCTGCTATCTAACGCACGTTTACGTCCAAGACCAGCCCGAGACTGTCGACATGATCTATCAATGGCGTGAGGTAGTCGACGAGTACCGCACGGAACACGGCGGGGAGCAGCGTTTGCTTATGACAGAGGCCTATACCAGCTTTGAAAATATGATTAAGTTCTACGGTGATGGCGTTCGCAATGGCTCGCAAATTCCCTTCAACTTCGACTTTCTTTCGAACATTAACAACGCCTCTACGGCTAAAGAATACGTGGAGCACATAGAAAAGTGGCTGAATGCCATGCCTGCTGGCGTCTATGCCAATTGGGTGCTGGGCAATCATGACAACAAACGTGTCGCTTCACGATTTGGTGTCCAGCGTACGGATTTAATAAACATTCTGCTCCAGACCTTGCCCGGCCATGCAGTCACGTACAATGGCGAGGAACTTGGCATGACCGATGTATTCATCAGTTGGGAGGACACAGTGGATCCTCAGGCCTGCAATTCTGATCCGGATACTTACTATGATCGGTCTCGTGATCCCGCCAGGTCACCCTACCAATGGGATGCATCTTCAAACGCGGGTGAGTAGCACTCTAACCAATTGTCCGTTGCCTGTTTCTTTTCATATGGTTTCGCATTATTTGCACAGGTTTCACAAGTGCTGATCACACCTGGCTCCCAGTTTCGGATGACTATAAGACAAATAATGCTTTGCAACAGCTGCGCGCTCCACACTCTCATCTGCAAATCTTCAAGACGCTAGTGCGTCTGCGTCAGGAGCCCTCTTTCCGTGCTGGTGCGATCAAGATTCAAGCTCTGGATGATGATATCATTGTCTACTCACGGTACCTAACTTGTCCTTTTGTGAAGGGCTCACTCTCCTAACAATTCTCTTTAATTTTCCAGGCAAAAGGAAGGCAGCGATCTATATATCGTAGTCCTGAATCTAGGCAATAGCGACAAGACTATTGACCTCACCCAGTACTTTACCTTGGGCGCGGATGCGGAGGTCATAACGAGTTCGTTGCAATCCCAGTACATAAATGGAGAAACCGTCAAGACTGCAACCTTTGTTGCCAACGGCAATGTGGGCACCGTTTTGGTAGCCATTAACTAAAGTTCCAGCAAAACCAGCTTCTAACTTTCACAACATTAAATGATAATAAATCGTATTATGATATAACATATAACAAAGCCTGCGAGACTATTTTCTTTCACGCAAGCGGAGATGAAGACCATTCTCTGATTTTAAGGTCAATACAGCCGACAAGATGGGATCGTATTTGTGACCTTGGCTCTCCTTCTTTTCTTTTTCCGCCTTGGGCAGACCCACATAAGTGTTAAGATAGCCATCCTTGGAAACAAGCTCATCCACTGCTGGCAATATTTCGAAGGTGCGCACAAGCTTCGATACCACAGTCTTGATCTCCAACAGTGCAAACTTTTGTCCAATGCAGTTACGTGGACCTGCGCTAAAGGGCAAATACTCGAAGGGTCCAGGTTTATCCACCTCGAATCGTTCCGGATAGAACCGATGTGGTTCCTTAAAAGTGCGATCGTCATAGCCCAGAATAATAAGTGCTAGATTTAGAGTAGTGCCTTTAGGCATTGTGGTGCCGTCTATTAAAAGTGAGAAAGAGCGGGAAAGAAAAGGTTAAAATCTAAGCCTTTTTCTCTATATTCGCTTGCTTACGTATCACATAATCTTTCTCAGTGTATCGACCGATGAAGGGAACACTGGGATAGACTCTCTGCGCCTCCTTAATGAACAAGTCCAAGTATTTCATCTCTGCTATTTCCTGGAATGTGGCATCCCGATGCATCTCATTGCCCATGACAGCTCGCTGTTCCTCAAAAAGCTTACGCTTTGGTCAATAGAAGGAAAGTAAAATTGTAGTCAACTTTTCGGTAGCTCACATAATTGCGTGTTACCTGTTCCTCCGGAAACCTGGATAGTAAGTAGCCAGCAAATGCCACGCCCGACGTCGTCGTGTCGTGTCCCTCGAACATAAATGTGGAGACCTCGTCGTATATCTCCTGCTGATTCAAAGGACGTCCATCAATGGTAGACGAAAGAAGGGTATCCAGAAAAGCCATCTTCTTACGGGAGAATTCGTTGTCTTCCGTCTTCTTGGCGATACCCGTGCGATGAGCCTCAATACGCTTCTCGATTATATCATTGGTGAAGTCTTGTAAAATTTTCAGGGTCTTCGCATTGGCGGGATAATCTGGAGCTAGGCGATAAAGCAGCTCTGAACGCTTGAAGGGGTGGAATGCCCGCATGTTCAAGTTGTAACACATACTATATAAACAAAAATCATTTAAATGACGCAAAAGAGTTGCAAGGAGGAACTCACTCTTTGAAAGCCTTTACAACCTCTACTGTGTCACGTTGTTCTATGGCATTAATAGGAACACCCATCGCTGTGTCGCAGATGACGTCCAACGTTAAATAATGTGTTTCATTTTGGAAATCTATGATACTGTCACCAGCCGAAACTTTTTTGAGTCGCTTGATGAATTTGGTTGAGTTCTCATTCATGACTAGGTGAAAATCTTGGAGGATATTAAAGTGGAAGGCGGGCGTTATCATCTTGCGGTGCTTATGCCATTTGCTGCCGGAGCTTGTGAGCAGACCTTCGCCCAGCCAAGGATGCAACATATCATAAATATCCGATTTTTTGATTAACGTGTTGCTGTTCATTATGACCTGAGAATATAGGAATGTCTATTAAGAAGGCTTTCAAATATTTTGCTTATGACCTACCTCCAAATGTTTGGGATTAGTCACCAAAATGTTGGCATAATAGCCTATCCATATGCGAAAGTTATCCTTATCATATTTGTGCCACCATTCGAAGAAGGTGTTTAGAATTTCTATGCATGTTTAACAAAAGAAAAAAGAAGAAGAAAAAATGTGTTAGACGGTTAATGTTTTAAATTGAGTGTGCAATAATAGATAATTTCATAGATTACCATATAAGACGTTTATATAAGATTGTTATAATTAAACTAAAATTGCAATTAATTTACAGCTGCAATAATCACGAGCTAAGTTTCTCAATTTTCAATTAGTTAAACCCTTCGTGATTGGCTGTTGAACCGCACTCCTAATTCAAATTGTATAGTCGTAGAATCTTATCGCATACAATCCAAATCTAATGCATATCGTGCAGGGCCACTTGAGATTGTGATGTCAAAGATCAACGGCGCAGTAGACAGTTAGGTATATTAGTTATAATAATAATAAAAATATAATAATTAAAGCTAAATATATAATACATTTTTGATATATTTAAAAAGCAGGCAATCACTGTTTGTTAAACTTATCAGTTTATTGCACTACCACAATCTATGGCCCGAATAACATTTCTTTATTCGCTGTATCGCTCCTCTAATCTTTAGCATACAAAAAAAAAGTTATTAGCGAACTAATTAATACGTCTGGGTCTGTCGCAGCTGATTGGATGAAAATTAAATTATATGTTTCTATGGTCTGTACTCAAATGCTCGTTGCCAATTCTTAAATGCCTTAACCCGAATGGCATTTCAACTGATGTTATTCCAGAACTGACATCAGCCATAATGCTATTCGAGAGAAGGCAATTAGCCACTTAAGTGAACCATTAAAACTTTTCAGATTCTTGTTATAATTATTAATGTCATTTCCTATTATGTAGGGCAGTTACCCGCCGGATTTTTGCCCACTTGGTGGGCATTGCCAAGAAGCGGCACTGTGGGAGGGCCCTTTATTTTGCTCAACGTGCGCTTCTTTTTAGCAACACTCAGCTCAAAATACGCAAATATAAGCAATGGCAATGCCAGAAACGCATACAAAATAAACCACATTTTTAAACGATTTAGATAATTGTTAGGCCACGAAAACTAAATACAAATACGAAAAAACTCAACACGATTCAAGTCAAAACGATCCGCTCGCGCCAACCAAAAGAATCAAAATACTGCTAGATTGAGACTGCGAGCAACTTAAATATCGCGAGCAGTTGTTTCTCAGATTAAACAACTTCAAAAAACTCGCGGGCTTCAGCTTGTCAGAATGAGTTGACAGAAAAACAACCGAGAGCAGGGAGAGAAGAGCTACGCATAGATTTGATGGAGTCACCTAAACATATTTTAATGAGTAAATAGATTTACATAAGACCATATGTGTACTTAACATTATGCCTACATGTATACAAATAAATATAATTCAATTTGTTTGTTATAAAATACACGTGATTTAATGAGCGTAAAAAATTCAGAGAGCGTCAATTTCAAACAACGCTTGAATTTAGTTTTACAGCAGCCGTGAATCGCGTGTTATTCAAATGGTCGCCGATTGTTTTTTGGTTGGCATATTTTTATTTTCTGAATAGTGCATCGTTCGCTAATGTGGATTTGCTCCACATTGAGCGTGGAATTCCTCTTATCTAAAGTTATTTTTCGTTGTTGCTATCGCTGCTATAACTAAAACAAACAAACAGATTGCTGTAAAATCTCTTAATTACACATTGCTAGCGATTCGGCTCTCTGTGGGCCTCTCTTAGGATGTATTGCAACTTGTGCAAGGTTAGTTGATATAAAATGTACGATTTGAAAAACAAACGCCACAGAAATTTATGTGTGCCTCACGAGCAGACCATAACAACTTGAGAAGCAATTCTGGATCAGTTTTCTAAAGAAGTCAGAAACAACATAAAAATATTTGATTACGATTTTTTCATTATTTTTTCATCATAAGGAGCACAGTGTGCATAGTATAATTGTATTTTAATTAAAATAATACAGAGATTTCATCATATTGTCTCTATGAGTGTAACGACAATTAATATATTGTTTCTTTACTCATGCATTCAAAGATATATGTGTGTGTGTAAAAGTTTGAGCAGATGTTGGACTACTTCCATGTTACAGCTCATACAAAAATTGGAAAGTGAGCGCGGAAAACTATGATAACGAGTAGGACGGAAACTAGTGAGAGCGAGTAAGATCGGGAGAGAGAAAAAGACAAAGAAAATTATCAAGAGACTACGTTCGATTACGTTTTCTTGACACAAGTTTTACATGCAAGATATATAAAAATTGGTTAATCAAATTTTGGGGCCATTCTAACAGTATCAGCGTATCGATAAAATTGATTATATATATTTTCTTTATTTTCAATCAAGATAATTAATTAGCCAATAGTTTCATAATTTACAGAACAGTAAATTGTCATGTCGTGAGTCTCAAATAAAATTGGATTGTTTTAATTAAATTTATATTAATTATTTTTCTAAAAGTGAAAACTTGAACCACTATTATACAAAAACCAGTTTTCAAACGAAAAAGTGTTTACTTGTAGAGGTATCAGAATAAATTTAAGCTAGATTGGGTCAAAATGTAAACATAAGCGAGCAGCATTTAAGAGTGTTTGACTTACAGTCCACTCTTATTTGATACCCAAAGAGTGTATTGTGTTGTTGAACCCGTGTGATCTGGCAGTACTAAATCATTAAGCCCAAAAATATGCTATAAGTTCGGTATACATTTCGCATTTATTTAAAAAATCCCACCAAATTGAGAAAATTGCGATCACTATTGTGTTGCCAAAATGATTACGAGTCGAACGAGACCAAGATCGGACCAGATTTGGCCAGGATACGAAACATGACTTTTTCTGAAATCTGAAAAAAACTGTTGATGCCAATCTGGAATATGGACCTCCACGAGCTTAACGCGCCCATCTGCCCACAATCGGGCTTTATTTGGCGGAGCTATGAGCCATAAATGCAAGTCATAATTTTTGCACTTAGCACCTATTTTTAAGCATTTAAACATTTTGCAGGACATTTCATGTAACGCTCATCGCCCTTCACCTCGAGATCTTTTTCTTGCCAATGACCCAATCCCAAGAGCTATAGTTGGCGCGCAGCTCCTCAATGCCAGGGAACCATTTCTCCGTGGGATTGATTGATCAACTTCCGCCATCCTCCAGATACCCCACGGCGGAGAACAGCTTGGGCACGTTCACATTGTGATTAACATCGACCAGATTACGTATGGGCGAGCGCACCGAGGCGGTGGCACGGCTTGTATAATTGGCTGGCTCCTTAACGAGCGACTCGCCCAGATGCAGCTTGTATATACATATATTTTCAACTTTAATATTCATTTAATTACTTTGGAAAGTCAGAGTAGTAAATTAAGAAACAACAATTAAATTGAAAATTAATGCAAATTAACATTAACAAATATAATTTTTTCCTTGCCTATATGACAAGAATTACTAAAAAGCCGTTAATAGGTATTCTTTGTCAGGCATATTATTACATTGTTACAGTTCACTTATTTTTAACTATGTTCTATAACATTATTAATAAATATCATAAATATTAGAAGGTCCTATTATTCCCATTATATAGTGTATGATTTGCATAACCAAACAAACTGATTACTCTTAGCAGTCTATTTACGGAGGTGCTCGCTAAAACCAATTTCCCAATAAGACGCTCTAAAATTAGTTGCTCTTATTAGTTGCCCCGATCCGGAAGATATGAAGCAGCTTAAGCGACCCACTCTAGCAAGAGTCCTACGACATGATCTGCGAATGGCATGGGTTAGTCGTTGACACACGCCTCTACCAGCTTCAAAAACATTATTAAATTTTACGGCGATGGAAATCGCAATGGGCCACAGCCAATTGCAGCCCAATAAATAAATTTTGTAAGAGTTAAAATCGTCACCAGAAGTGGCCAATTTAATTTCCAGCTTGTCAATTCAACGACATTTAATATTGATAAAAAGTACTATGATGCGATATAAAACACTTATTTTCTTTCATGCAAGCGGAGATGCAGACCATTCTCTGATTTTAAGGTCAAAACGGCTGACAATATGGGATCGTATTTGTGACCTTGGCTCTCCTTCTTTTCTTTCTCCGCCTTGGGCAGGCCCAAATACGTGTTAAGATGGCCATCCTTGGAAACAAGCTCATCTACTGCGGGCAATATTTCGAAGCTGCGCACAAGCTTCGATACCACAGTCTTAATCTCCAGCAGTGCAAACTTTTGTCCAATGCAGTTGCGTGGACCTGCGCTAAAGGGCAAATACTCGAAGGGTCCAGGTTTATCCACCTCGAATCGTCCTGGATAGAATCGATGTGGCTCCTTAAAAATGCGATCATCATAGCCCAGAATAATAAGTACTAGAGTTAGAGAGGTGCCCTTAGGTATTGAGGTACCATCTATTAAAAGAGTGTGAGAGAGAGAAAGAGAGAGAGAGATGAATAGAGTGGTAGAGAGAGGGGGAGAGTTGCGACTCATGAGCTATTGCCATTCAATTGCTTACATATCACATAATCTTTCTCAGTGTATCGACCAATGAAGGGAACACTGGGATAGACTCTCTGCGCCTCCTTAATGAACAAGTCCAAGTATTTCATCTCAGCTATTTCCTGGAATGTGGCATCCCGATGCATGTCATTGCCCATGACAGCTCGCTGTTCCTCAAAAAGCTTACGCTTTGGTCAATAGAAGGAAAGTAAAATTGTAGTCAACTTTTCGGTAGCTCACATAATTGCGTGTTACCTGTTCCTCCGGAAACCTGGATAGTAAGTAGCCAGCAAATGCCACGCCCGACGTCGTCGTGTCGTGTCCCTCGAACATAAATGTGGAGACCTCTTCGTATATCTCCTGCTGATTCAAAGGACGTCCATCAATGGTAGACGAAAGAAGGGTATCCAGAAAAGCCATCTTCTTACGGGAGAATTCGTTGTCTTCCGTCTTCTTGGCGATACCCGTGCGATGAGCCTCAATACGCTTCTCGATTATATCATTGGTGAAGTTTTGTAAAATTTTCAGGGTCTTCGCATTGGCGGCATATTCGGGAGCTAGGCGATAAAGCAGCTCTGAACGCTTGAAGGGATGGAATGCCCGCATGTTTATGTTGTAGCACATGCTAAACACATGGAGAGATATTTACATGGCACAAGAGAGTTGCAAGAAGGAACTCACTCTTTAAAAGCCTTTACAACCTCTACTGTGTCCCGTTTTTCTATGGCATTAATGGTCACTCCCATCGCTGTATCGCAGATGACGTCCAATGTTAAATAATGTGTTTCGTCCTGGAAATCTATAATACTGTCACCAGCCGAAACTTTTTTGAGTCGCTTGATGAATTTGGTTGAGTTCTCATTCATGACTAGGTGAAAATCTTGGAGGATATTAAAGTGGAAGGCGGGCGTTATCATCTTGCGGTGCTTATGCCATTTGCTGCCGGAGCTTGTGAGCAGACCTTCGCCCAGCCAAGGATTCAACAAATCGTAAATACCAGATTTTTTGATTAACGTGATGCTGTTCAATATGACCTGAGAATATAGGAATGTTTATTAAGAATGCTTTCAAATATTATAGCATTTTACCTACCTCCAAATGTTTGGGATTAGTCACACAAATGTTTCCATTGTAGCCTACCCACATGCAATAGTTATCCTTGTCGTATTCATGCCACCAGTCAAACAAGGTATTTAATATGGCTAAGTGTTTATAAAAAAACCAGTTACTGTTTTACTTTGAGTATATAATTATATAAAAAACTATATATATGCTGCATCTTATCAAACGACTTTTGCAAATTTACGAACTGCAATCATTTCTACAACAATTTTTGAATTAGTTAAAGACATATTTGCAGTGACATATTACTCAATTAAAACACAGGTGAACCCGTAATTTAAATTGTATACAATTACCGCTAGAGATAAACCACATAAAATCAAGATCGTAATAGTAGACGTTGGATCAAAGAACTGAGTTGCGAAATCTGAATTCAGTATGTATTATATAGATAAACTCTATTATTTGTTAACTATTAATTATAAAAATTAATGCATGTATTAATATAATAATATTATTTATAATTAAAAATGTAATAATAATAATAATAATAATTAAAACAATAATAAGAATATTTGTATTAACTAATGGAAAACATAGTTATCAGTATATTTGTAATAATAATGCGTTCCCCTTTAAGGGATAAAGTACGAGACTAGCGGACTGTGTGCATATGTTTGTTTGCTTAAAATATTTTTTACGGTAGCTCCACTCTTGTTTCATGGTATACATATAATCGTGGAGCAGTCTCTACTCGAGCACTCGTCCTTTTTGGTTAGTATTATTAAAGTAATTTTTTCTTATGTAAGGCAGTTACCAGCAGGAGTTTTGCCCACTTGGTGAGCATTGCCAAGAATCGGCAGTGTGCGTGGGCCCTTTATTTTGTTAAGAACACGTTTCTTTTTAGCAACACTCAATTCAAAGTACGCAAATACCAACAATGGCAATGCCAGAAAAGCATACAAAATAAACCACATTCTTAAACACGACTGTAAGCCCACGAAAACTTAACAACAAACAAAAATCCACGTTTCGATCAGATCCGCTCGGGCCAAGCAAAGTAATGAAAATGATTCTAGTTGGGGACTGTGAAGAACTTAAATACAACCATCGCTAGCAGCTGTCTCTTCGATTAAACAACTTCCAAACACTCGCGAATACTTGCCAATCATAATGAGTTGGCAGAAAAAAAAACTAAGAGAAAGCCCATCTTAAAGAGAACCGAGTTCAGCCTTAGAGTTCAGCAGCGAATCGAAAACTATTTAAAAAGCGCCAATTGTTCCTTTTTATATAATAATATGTATATATACAATATTAATAAAATTATATATAAATTGTGACTCATTACTATCAAAACAGACATAAACGAATGGTTTTTACAACGCTCAACTAAACATTGGCAACTAATTATCTCTCTTCTGACCCGACAAATACTCTCTTCTGTATATTGATCTTTGCGTTCTGAAGAAACGTTTTGAAAATATTTCTTCCCATCCAAGGTTCATTGACAAAAGTGAACAATTTAAAATTTATAAAAAATTCAAACTTTTCCACATACATATGTAAATACAAATACATACATATATACAAACATTCAAAACTACGCACTTCACTCAGCGGCTGTCCTACTCCTTCCGTGGGCCCACACAATGCTGTATTCATTCTGCACAAACTTCGGTGATTATGGTCCGATCTCTAAATGCTATTTTCAGGACTAAAAGATGGCAGATGTGGTTAAAACGTAAATAATTGTGATGTTTAGTAGAATATGTATTATCGGCAGAAGAAAATGCTGCCCAAAAGTATGGAATGTTTTCATTACATTGAGAAGGGGTGCAAGTCTTCGATAAATATAGCATACCAGTGTTGCCGATTTAGCTCTTTTCTCACCAAATCGGATCTTTTCAAACTTACCGACTGTAAAAATGTCAAATTTTTCTACATCCGAAAGTCTATCTATTTAATGTTTAGCTTTGAAACATTTTTTCTTTTAATATGGATTGTTTGAGCCAACCCATTATTATCAGCATAATATGGTTCTTCCACCATAATTATTGTATTTCAATTATTTTTACAAAAAGCTTTTAATTTTCAAAATATGCTAAGGCTTAATGAAAGCTTGTAACAACAACTAAGCCGATGGACCCAATTTTGCGACATATTTTATAGGGTACCAAATCAATCAAAAAAACAGCTTCGCCTTTTTTTCATGAGTATCATGAGAATATTGACTAAGACAAAAAACAGCTATTAATAACTATCAATAAATTTGCAAATTTTGTGCTGTTTTCTGTCCGTTTTTTTTAATTTTTTAGTTTTTTTAAAGCTTTTTGTTTGATCTGTCCTTTATTCGTGACATATAGTAGAGCTGCGTTTTGAACAGTGTTAACCTTTCCCACAGCACCGGGTAATCGCTAGTGCTCGTATGGTAACATACGTACATATGAATATTGGTATCTTATCACAGGCTTTGGTAGATGAGCTGCTTAAGGGATCAGGATATACATCCTGTTATGGCAACAACAATTATAATAATTGTCCCTAATATATGAAACTATTGTTGTTTAGTTTGAATGCTATCCGTTTTATCAGGTGTCAAATAATAGAATAATTGTTTTTTTTTTGTTAATATTTTGGGAGTTATTATTAGTCTTGAGTCACATTATAACCCAAGCTGCAATTTTGCAATCTCTTGTCAGCAATCGCAACCAAACAAACTGATTACGAAGGTGCCCTTTAGACTTACACGTCATAATATAGATGCTCAAGTGAGTCAATTGAACAGGTAATAAGGCAATTATAATTATTATTGACAGTTATCTTACTGCCAGCAGCTACAGGTAATTGAATACTGTTGTAATAAGCTGGCGATAATTGTTATGATTATTTTGAACTGTCTCCGTTTAATGACTGTTTAGTAGCCAACGTTAGAGCTGAGCACTGTGAGGAAAGAAAGGGGTAGCTAAAAGACAGATAAGCTATCGACTACGCTATCGTCGGTTCGAGCACAAAATTATAGCGAAAGCCGAAGTCATTTTTTGGGGGTCGATCAGTTAGCAAAGCATTTGCAAAGTGAACGCAACGTGAAACAGAAATTGTGATATTAAAAATAAATATATATTTCCTTACATCAGTTAAAAAGTATTAGATCAAAACATGTTTCTGCTAGCAGCGGCAATTGTTTTGGCCACAATTTTGGTGTTCAAGGGTGTCAAGATATTCAATTATATTGATCACATGGCTGGCATTATGGAAATGATACCGGGCCCAACGCCATACCCATTTGTGGGTAATATCTTTCAGTTCGGTCTGAAGCCAGCGGGTAAGCACAATATTTATGCACTATTTGGATAGGCAGTCAGAGATTAGAAAGTAAATGCGACTGTTAATGAAAAGTAACTATAAGCATAAAATATTATTTTATAATACTTTTCTCTGCTTCCACTTGCCTGATTATGATAAAAATTTAAGATTTCTTTATCTTAGATATTAATATTACGACATATTTCAGCAGAAATCATAGCCAGGGTGCATTTTCTCATTTTTGCAATATTCTTTGCAATTTTCATCATATTTTGTTTTCCAGCGCATTTCCCTCGAGCTCAAAGGCCCAGGCCGAATCTCAAACGCCAGACGCCCGCACAATTTGTTGAGTAATTTTGGTGTTGTTTTCCTGAACGTGCTTGCCAAGTAATCATTCCAAATGCACAATAGCCTGAGCACAAAATGCTGCACAACAATTGATAGCTTTGCCATGCTCCAATGGCATTGGCTGTCTCAATAGAGACTGCTTCCTTTCTCTCTGCGAGTGTGCTGCTCAGTGTAGGCATCCCCGTCGGGTTCTACGTTGTCAATACCATTATCCTTGTTTGATTTTGTTTTCATTGGATTTTAATAGATACTTGATGCAGTCACTGTTTGTTGGCAGCTTTTGCTCATTTCTTTTCCATTTGCTTGACTTGACTTGTGCATTGCGGATTAAAAAATGAGCACATTAAAGCATGCATGGGATAAAGTTGTGGTAAGGTCAGCTCAGAACCAATTCACACAGTTCACAGCTCAGAGAGGTGGTCCATTTCAGGCCTTAAAGCCAGTGATAGCATCTTGCAGCCAGGACTTGACAATTTATCAGTTCAATGCACATAACATTATTGAACGACTGAAATGTAAGCAAATGAAATTTGCAAATTCAAATGTAACCTACATAATGCGTGCAGTTACCAGTAACTGAGCTCACAAAGAACATTTCACAGCCAGGAAGCTGAATATTAAAACTGTCAAGCTAGCTCGCACAGGAAATTACAGCTTTTGGGAAGTTGTGCGTTTAGAAATTGAGCTGCCAAATCCGAATAACTTAAGTAATGAGTTAGACTTGGGTCGGGGTATATACTGATATGAATTTAATATAAGTACCTAAGAACTTAAACCAAATTTAGGTTGGAAATACTACTAATTAAAATGTGATTAATTTTCTGCAGAGTATCCCAAAAAGGTATTACAGTATTGCAGAAAATATGATTTTCAAGGCTTCCGTTCGCTTGTATTCCTGCAGTATCACATAATGCTCAGCGATCCGGCGGAAATTCAGGTGAGTTCTGCCCATTCCCTCAGCTGAGACTGAACACTTACATGGAAGCGCCCTAATGTTATTTGCCGTTGATAGAACATGTTGTCGAGCTCTTCACTGTTGTACAAGGAGCACTTGTATTCGTTTCTGCGCCCCTGGCTGGGGGATGGGCTGCTCACCAGCTCCGGTGCCCGTTGGCTCAAACACCAGAAGCTCTATGCGCCCGCCTTCGAACGCTCCGCCATCGAGGGCTATTTGCGTGTGGTGCATCGAACCGGCGATAGGTTTGTACAGAAGCTGCGCCAGCAGACGGAAGCATCAAAGCCCTTTGACGCCCAGGAGCTAGTTGCCAAGTGTACGCTGGATATTGTTTGCGGTAGGTGGTAGCTGGTCCTCAGTGGTGCCAGGTTGCGGGCACAGGCATGCTGTTGTAAAACTTTAAGCATTTGTCATGGGCATTTCTTTTTTTTTTGGTTAACTTTCAGGGTGCGGTTTCGGGAGCGTTGCACTCGTTTATTTTTGTAATTTATTATGGCCATTTTATAAATACGATTTATAACATAGAAAATGGCTACAAGTGCCAGAGATTGTCTGGCAAAAAAGTTTTACCGCGCCCAAAATATTCCGTGAGTTATTAAGGTACCAGTGCAAAGGACATGTTTTAAAAATTGTGTACAAGAATGATTAAATTTTTTAAATAATGGGACATTTTTATGAAATTATCATTTTTTTTTTTAAATTATTCACTTTAACTTTGTTCCTATAATAAATCCTTTTAGAGAATGCAACAGGCGTGGCCAGCAATTCACTGAACGATGAGCCGTCAGATTTACACAGCGCCATTAAAGAGTAAGCTTCAATATAATCCTAGCATTCAGCCGATCAGTCGTTATACACTTTTACCCTCTGCTAGCCTGTGCGAAATCGTTCAGGAGCGCACATTTAGTATAGTCAAGCGCTTTGATGCACTTTTCCGTCTGACTCCCTACTACTTGAAGCAGCGCCGGGCGCTGCAGTTGCTCAGGAATGAAATAAAACGCGTACGTTTTTATATATAACTGCTTAGATGTAATGTCCACTCAACCATTATTCCATCAGATAATATCCGACAGACAAAGGCAACAGCAGTTGTCCAAAACCAACGATCAGAAAAACAAGTCTTTCTTAGATGTCCTTCTGTGCTCCAAGCTTGATGGGGGCGCGCTAAAGGAGCGCGAGATAATCGAGGAGCTGTCCACGTTTATATTTACAGTAAGCTTGACACTCACATTCTACCATATATAGACTCCAGCTAAAATTACTCTTTTCCAATAGGGCCACGATCCAGTTGCCTCTGCGATCTCTTTTACAATTTACATACTCTCCCGTCATCCAGAAATACAGCAGAAGGTCTATGACGAACAGCTACGTATTTTTGGAAAAAATATATCCGAAGAAGCGGACATAGCGCGGTTGGAGCAAATGCACTATCTGGAGTTGGTAATACGCGAGACTCTTCGCCTGTATCCCGCTGTACCGCTGATAGCACGCACCAACCGCAAGTCCATAGACATAAGTAAGTATACGAAGATTTCATGATTTTTGCCAATCTAAGGCTCTGTCGCCCCTCCAGATGGCACAAAGGTGGCCAAACGCACAACTGTCATCATGTGCCTTATTGCCATGGGTTACAACGAGCGTTACTTTGATGAGCCCTGCGTTTTCCGGCCGGAGCGATTCGAGCGGGCGAACACGAACGAAGGCATCGAAGCCTTTAAGAGTGTCCCGTTCAGCGCTGGACCCAGACGCTGCATTGGTAAGTCCGCCCTACAGCCCATTACCGGCTCAGTCCTGACCATGCCCACTCTTCCTACCTTGCAGCTGAAAAGTATGCAATGTATCAGCTCCAGGCGCTGCTCTCGTTGCTGGTGCGACACTTTGAAATACTGCCCGCAGTGGATGGCCTGCCGCCGGGCATCAATGACCACAGCCAAGTGGACTGCGTGCCTCAAAGTGAATACGATCCGGTGCTAAACATTCGTGTAACGCTCAAATCCGAAAATGGCATACAAATCAGGCTCAAACAACGAACAGCTATGCAATAAAAGCCTCTATAGCGCGGATGGATTCACTGAAGATTATTTAGAATCCTCGTACATTGGAGTTACATATGTATATCGACGAGTATGCTGCACGTTAATAATTCAAGACAGATTAAGCTTAAATTTGTTTGGTTTATGCCTTAACCTCAGTATCTAGCCGTGTTATAATAATATTCCATTTCATACGCAAAATATATTTATTTCTAATATTTCGATCAAATAAAACCGGAGGTATACGATAACCAGATCAAGCGCATTTTTTTTTGAATGCCTCACACCACTCCCCCACCTTCCCCGCGCAATCAATAAAAATTAATTGGAAATCGCACTTATATAATATATCTTTATGCTAACTTAATGATCGTATATATGTTCAACTTCAAAGAATAGGCTGACAGAGCTGCACTGACTAGCCCAATTAGAGAGTTGGACACTTAACGACGAAGCCTCACAGATGCTGATAAGCTATGTAAATGAATGTAGAACATTAAAACTTGCGATGAAACCCTTAGGAGCGTGCAAATATGTATAAAGTACAGAAATAAAGAAACTTTGAGAAAAAAATGAAGCCCGTTTAACCCGAGCTTTGACTTCATCGCCTTTGCAGTCGCACGGGCACACCGGTTAAAGACTTGAGAGTAATAGGCATGTGTAGGTTCAACTCTTGTGGCCCGGGCTTATAATTAGCATTGAATACCTGTGCAATGGTCTGTTTAGCTAAGGGTGCGGGTAAAATGCGGAATCTGCGCAGTAATTTAGACAGCGTCACCTTCAGCTCAAGCAGCGCAAACTTTTGACCTGTTAGTAAAATGATGAAAAAGTATATATTTAATAAATCATACAATTGATACGTACCTATGCAGTTTCTTGGACCCGCACTGAATGGCACATTGTCAAAGGCATTTGCCTGTGTTCGTTCAGTGGCCTCGAATCGCTCAGGTCGAAACTCGAAGGGCTCTTCAAAGCTGTGCGGGCTATGTCCAATGGCCAAGATGGGCAGTGCAATGGTCGTGCCCTGGGGCAAGTATTTGTCAACTGTAATGCAGACAGTTAACTTAGACAGGGAACAGGGATGCAGCATTCATCACTCACGTATGACACTCGGCTCGCGGGCCGTTCGAAATATGAATGGCACACTAGGAAACAAACGCAATGTTTCCTTGACGACCAAATCCAAATACTTCATGTCCTGCAGCTCCTCGTATGTGGGTTCACGCTCCTTTTCATTGCCGTACAGGCACACTTGCTCTTCATAGGCGCGTTGTTGTACATCCGGTGCCCTGGCCATGCACCAGATGGAAAATGTAATGGCTGAAGCGGTAGTATCATGACCCTAAGGATTCAAAATCATCAACATTAAAAACATAATTTATGATAAATAAAAATTTGGTTGAAATTGTCAATTTCGATTTTCGAGAATCGTATTATTAATTGTTTTTATTATTGAGTTTATCTAATCTTCTTCTAACAATCAGGCTGAAATATACAAATCTGTTATTACAAAAAAAACTGAGAATTATGTTCGGAATGATGTCATAGCATCTCAATTTAGTAGACCGATTTCTATACGATTTTTATAATCTTAACCCATAGACAAGAACAAAGGGGTAAATTATTTTATTCTTTGGAATTCTACAAAATCGAATAATTAAAAAGTCGGGTTAAAACTAATGCCACAATGTGAAGTATATTCCCTATTGCAAATTCGCAAGTCTTTTAGATAGAAAATGTTGGCAAGCCCAGTGACAGATATTGTAAACGTATTTGGATTTGATGTGGCCAATATCGAACCTAGGAAAGGGAATACAATTATTATAAAACTACTTTTGTGATAATACTACAAAGAAGTATAATTTTATCCATTTCATCAAGCGCAAACGGCGAGCTCTTTCTGGTTATGTCCATGTTTATATGTTGTGTGTATTAGTGTGTACAAGTAAACATGTATTGGGAAGGAATTACCTCAAACATGAATGTGGAAACTTCCTCAAAAATGTCCTGAAATGTTAGAGATTTACCATCAACTTTGGCGGTTATAAGGTTGTCTAGGAATGCCATTTTAGGTCGCTTGGCATCCAGTAGTTCATCGTCCGACTGCGCCGCTTGGTAGTTTGAAGTTTGAATCAAGCGACGACGCTGCTCAATGATCTGAAATGCATGCATGGTTATATGCGAGGCTATGGAATGTCATTTTTGGCTGCCAACCTGAGCGAACTCGACGTGCAGTGTGTTCAGAGCCTGCTGATGTTGCCTATATAACGATGTAAATTTAAAAAACCAATCCATGCGCTTAAATACTGAGAACACACGCTCGGGAATGATGTTGCAAAGATCATCGATGGCACCCACAATCGGCGATGGTCGTCCCTCAATGCTGTTTACTCGGGTGCCCATTGCGGTCTCTGCAGCAAATTGCATTTTGCATATGCGAAATGAAAACAGAGCTTACAGAGCTTACCGCAAATGACATCGATGGTAAGTCTAGAGACTAGCCGCTGCATATCCATCACTTGGCCCTTCGATGCGTCTGACTCCTGTTCCAGCAGCTTCATGAAACGGTTGCTCGTCGTGTTTATAATGTGCAGAAAGTCCTTAAGGATGCGGAAGTGAAAGGAGGGCGTTATCAGCTTGCGCCGCACCGCCCAATGACGGCCATTCCCGGTGAGCAGGCCACTGCCCAGCCAGGGGTAGAGTAACGTATATGGATCATGTTTGTACGTAAGAGCAGTGCTGCTCAGAACGTGCTGATTCATTGAAATAAAGATCAGAACTGGATTGAATCTACACTTAATTGCTTACCTCTACATATTTGCACTCTATGAATAGCACATAGGGCATTGGGCCAATCCAGATGCGAAAGTTTTTGTAATTGTATTGTTTATACAATTTTAAGAGATTTCTTAAATGGGCTGCAAGGATGAACATATAATATTTTAGTTTACTTGTATTTGTTTTGCCAAGAATCAGCCAGCCAATTTTGGCTACAACATAACAGGTAGGGTATATATAGGGGCCAAATCAAATGGACAAAAAAGTAAACATATTCTAGATTAGTTACAACAAGCACTCTGCTCGTCTGTTTGTTCTCTTTTTTTATAAAATCCTTTTTGTCTGACAAAAACATTGAACATATATTACGTTTCGTCGACAATTTGATATTTTTATATTTCGTAAAGTGAAAAAATTATCACAAAATAATAATATAACAATTAAAACATTGCGAATTTTGGCCTCGTTGTCTGAAAATTTTTTGAAAATTATTACAAACTAGTTTGATTTGATTTTATTAGGCGCATGTTAATTATGTTAATACCGCTCAAATATAAAGTGAGCCTCGAGCTTAGAGGCCCAACAGATATTCGACCTTGACTATTATTAATATACTAATAATTAATCAGACCAATCGATTATAGCATTTCGTTGATTATAAAAAGGCGATATATAAAATACCCATATAGATTTGTACACTTTAATAGCCGTACAATTAAACACCCTAAATTACAATCGTTGCAGTGGGATAAAACAAGGATAAGTCCGATGCTCAGACTAAGCCTGAGGAGGATGTTTCTCTATATATTCGAGTGAACGCTGGATTGCGTCGGGGATTGGTGGTGGGGTCGGAATATGATCTCCCACTGGTTGGTATCCATTTTCATCTGCCACAAAATCAATTTTAATTTCTTCGCCTTCGGGTGAAACCCACTTTTGACTTCCCGTCTGAACGACAGCACTTTCGTCTCCTAGATTTTTTAGAACTCCCTCTACTGCTGTCTCTACGCCGTTGCTCAGATCCCATTCAGTTTTGAATGAGCCATCGGGATTGACAACATGTTCATTTTTCACCACCTCAATTTCAGCAGCCAGAACTCCAACGGCTAGAGCGTAAAAAACCACCTAAAATTGGTGTCAACAATAAGGACAAGTTTCCAAATGTCGAGGGCTACTCACAATTTTGAACATATTCACTACTTAGTGCAGAGCAAAACAGAAACTAATCATCCATTGTCTACATTTTTTGCCTTATATAAGGAATTTCCTCTTGGTATAAGCTTTGGCTTTAGTTTGTTAATACAAGTCAGGTTTAGGCTGGGTGTCAATAATAATAATGGAATTGGCGTGTTTAGGCTAAACAAAACGTGGCTAATTTACATTCCATCTACTCATCGCGGGACGCAAAACAAGCATATTGCATATTTATTAGTTTTCTTTTCTATACATTTATGTTTTTCTTATAATAAAAAAGCAATTATACATATTCACAAAAAGATTGAGGTTGCAAAGGTACAGCCTTTGTTTTGTTCTCTTAGTTTATTCTAACGTTATTTGTGTATTCTTTCGTTCAATAATTACATTTACACAAAATAGAGCTATAGTCAAAAAGTCATAGTCCTTTCGAATCTTAGCTGTTTTGTTAACTGAATGCATGGTTCACTCAGACAGCTCTTCTACCGAGGACTGCGGCAAGCAAATTATAAACTTGGCTATATATTTTTACATCAAGCTTTATCACATGCGTGAACTTGCGAACACATATAAGTAAGTATTAATATTTAAAAAGATGTAGATTTTCTCTATTGAGTGAAGCTGGTAAATGTTTGAGTCTTTGCAGGTAAAACTTGCAAAAAATATAAAAGCATTATATAATTCATATTCAGTACACGATATCATGACTGTAGTAAACGTTGTTTATTTAACTGTCTTTAAGAATCGAGTTACTTGAGCACAAAAGAGTTTCAGAACCAAGTCAGTTTAACGATCCATGCAACTCATATACTTAATGATGAGAGTATTTCTCGGGTGCTGGAGGATGTGCTGCAATCCAGGCAAGGGCGCGCTCGATTTCGACTGGAATTGGAGGCGGGGTTGGCAGAGCTGCGCCCTGTGGCTGGTAACCGTTTTCATCAGCCACATAAGAGATTTCGATTTTTTCACCCTCGGGCGAGACCCAGGCAAAGCTGCCGTGGATGTTTCCGTACTCATCACCGCTTTCTGCGCGGCTGATTTGGTTGCTGGTCTCAAGGCTTGCGTCGAAGCCATCAGCGCGCACATCATCCTTGCGAGAAAGAACTTCAGCGTGCACATCCTCGCCGTGTCCAACGGGGCTGGAGCGCACTGGATGCGCAACCGGACGGATGCCACGCAGAAGACCAGGTGACAAGGCGACGGCCATGCCGAAAAAGGCGCAAATCATCAACTGTAACAACTGGCTATTAACTGCCGCTAATCCCCAGTCTTAAACTACTTACTACTTTGAACATTTTGATATTTTGGCAGTTGTAGAACACAGAAAGCGAACGATGACTGATGCTGCAAAACGGCCAGGCGGCGTCTTTTATACAGCCGCAGCTTAGAGAGTGTCCACTTAGAGACTTGTTCAGGCGCATGAGTTATGGGTTTAACCGACACACCCACACGAAAAACCAATGCTTGGACGACACCAAACAAATGCGAGTTCAAAAATAATGATATAGTACTATAATATTTTATTGAATGCTAAAGTGCATCAAGAGCGGCTTGAGCCAACTGGTCGCAAACTTGTTTCCATGTGTCACCGAAGCTATCTGTTTAACCAAATCGTGTCGTTATTAAATAAATTAAAAGTGAGACCAAACCAATTCATGAACTATACCCACCTAATCTGTGACGTCAAAAGCAACTTCTCCTTTTAAAACGTGTTCCCAAAGCATAAATTAACGCATTTTTTGCAATAATTAAAAAATATATTTGAATATTTTACTTTTTATGTTAATTTGGGCGATTTTAAGAAAGTGTGGTAAGCCCTTTTAAGAAAAACTATAAAAGCTTTTCAGATATTGCAAGATTTTCACTTATATAAATATCTGAAAAGACCCAAATTACTTATGTACATATTGTTCAGGAGTAGACCTTGACTTGAGTGGGACTATTTCATCTGACCAGTATATATGGACTCGGTTAGGACAATTAGGAAATTAAGCGTTCAGTTAAAATCTTGCTCGCAAGTCTCAGTCTCAGTCGTCAAGAAGAAGTATAAGATAGTATAAGAATAATCATTTGAAAATATAAATTATTTTATGCAATCACTTCTAGGCATTGAACTTTACCGCACATCTTTGTAGAATGGTGTTCTGTTAAAATCTGTTAGAATCCCGTCGCATCTTTTTTCAGTGCCTAAAAGTAGGCAATAATCAAATAAATTGTTCGGGCAGATGGTTCTCCAAATAAATGTTGGCTTTGTGGCAAAAAAGGCAAATTGACTTGTTCTATTTGAGCCCCACGGCCCAAATTGTATATTATGGATATGTAAAATATTATATTTTTTCTTCATATTAAAGATTTATTAGTTTATTTTACCTTATAACATTTTGTAATGTTTATGGATAAGTTTTGCTTAAATATTATGAACATTGTGATTTGATGTATAATAAAATAATTGTAAGCCTTTTGAGTAACATTCAACTTTACAGTTATATGTATACAGTTAGTGTATATATTTAACGAGTAAAGAATGCCATTCATATTTCAACTAATCAAAAAAAACTGTACATGACTCCGACAAATAAGGGGGTAGAGGTTTATTTTGGAAGCTCAACTGCCTAGATTTATAACGATCTGTAAAGTAAATTACCGAATATCATAAGTTAAAAACATGAAATTGGGGCTCGGTAAGAAATAAATTTCTTCTTTACGAGAGCTGTTGCGAAGCAGATATTCAGCGATGCGTTATTTTGGGAATTTTAAAGCAGTTATTTAGAAGTCAAAACGAGTTTGCAAGCAGTTAGACCCGTTTTCTCTAGTTATTAACGCACTGCAACAGTCAAAATCGATAATATGTACATTATATGCGGGACTCGTTAATTTCGAGCGAAATTTGCATATCTGTTGCACGCAAAATGTCATCTAATAGTATACCAAGAGAGCTATATAAGGCCGAGAACTCTCTGAGTGGATCATCAGTCAACGTTCGTCTCACGTTCCACAACTGCACTTACTTCAAAATGTTCAAAGCCGTAAGTAGCTGGACACGAGCACAAGGATTGTCAATGGCTAACTATGTTGCACATCTTTCAGCTATTGATCTGCGCAGTTATCGGCCTGGCCGCCGCCGTGCCAGTTGCTCCTTCTTCTGAGGATGTGCACGCCGAAGTCATTTCCCGCAAGGATGATGTGCGCCCGGATGGTTTCGACTCTTCTCTGGAAACAAGCAACAAGATTGGCCGCGCAGAGAGCGGTGATGAGCACGGAAACATCCACGGCAGCTTCTCCTGGGTCTCGCCCGAGGGTGAACAAATCGAAATCTCTTATGTGGCTGACGAGAACGGATACCAGCCACAGGGCGCAGCTCTGCCAACCCCACCCCCAGTCCCTGTCGAAATTGAACGAGCTCTCCAATGGTTGGCCGCCCATCCCCCAGCACCCGAGTACGATAGTAAGCACTAAATGACTTTTGACAGTGCATATTGGTTCGCATATGGACTTGACCCTCGAACTCCCTTTGTTTATAATTTTTAAGTTATCCGCGCATTGTTTATGACAAATAAAAAAGAAGTTTTGTCTATCAAGCAATATTGTTATCATTTGACAGACAGGCCCTGGGTCCTCATGTTGGTAGACGTTTTTGGGAATTGGAATTGGTATTTTTTTAACATGTTTTTACAACAATTTTCATTACTAAGTAAGTATGCATCATTAGAGAACTTGACACACTCTGTTAACAGTCGAAAAGTATCATAAATCAGACTCATTTTATTATATATGTGTATATCATTAACATAGATCAGCTAAATACTCTTGCAGAGATTAACGGGAATACTCGACTGAGAGGTACCCTAAACACATTCATAAACAAACACACATAAGCACTCCGCAAGTTGCTCACTTTATGCTGCGGCTCTGCTTCTCTTTCTATCAACCCAACACAATGGAAAATGCGTTATTCAATAATTGCAGGGCTTATTGTCAGACGTTAAAAAAACGGTCAGGAAATACATATGACTATCAAAATAAATATGGAGAGGGATGCAAATGGTGAAATATTTTGGATTTATGTAGACTTCACGAGAGTTTACCCTACCCCACTAGAATCGGCGCGACCGTCTATCCATCTAGTTTCTATGCGAACTAGTATCTCAGTTTTTAGGCAATCGTCCTGAAACTTATAGCTGCCATCGGAACGATTGGTCAAAAAGTAGGTTCTTCTATGTCAAATTATATTTTCTTTTTTCTATGATAAATTAATCAAACTCAGATTTACAAGCTTCACTATTTTACATAGCCCGTAGTGCAAATGTCTACTTTCTCGACTTCTTGATTTCATGAAGACGCTGGCAAGATTTAATTATCTAAAACAACTTTGAACTGCACGTGTCACCTTCTGATTTTTTTCTTATATGAAGCTCTTATAAGTAACTACTTGATAAGATCCTTGCGTTAATAAAGCTAGTCAAGACCGTGTTAGCTTTATGGGGATGGAAGGGGATATATAAGATATTAAGAAGAAACATGTTATTTTAAACCAATCGAAACTTGTGCAGATAACGAATTGTTTATTTGTTGTCTATTATTTGTGGATTATTATATAGAACCCATAAAACCAGTAGGCCGGAAATTGAATTTTGGTATGAAAACAGTGATAAGTATTGGGAATGATTGATCTTGGACTCCCGAAATCCCGAAATAACGTTCGTGACATTAATTCACTCAACCAACAATAAAGTCATATATGACGTTGCTTATCCATCGAAATCAGATGCTTTTGAGCCAGTTTTCAAAATTGGAGGGGGAAGTTATGTGAATAATATTATACATTTAAGACGTGATTCGAAGAGTTCTAAAATAACAGTCATAACTAGTCTTGAAGAAGATGAACCAGTTTTCTTCAGAAGCCGCTGATGCACTTTAGCATTCAAAATAATCAGAATATTAGAAATCCACTTTCCTCATCTACTCTCATTGAAGGTTTAATAATTTAATCATAGCGTATGATATCCCTGCTTTTCTTGAGTACCCAGGCAATATAAATAAATCGCTAACTTTGTTCTACTCAGGTATGCATATTTTTGATGGAAAATATCTTAGTCAAGACAACATTTAAGTTCTAAAATAGTTTTTTAAAAACATTAATTTAATAAAAGAAATAAATACGAAATAAAAATTTAATTAAATAAATATATTTCTGTCAAAAAGCCTTAAAGAGTTTTCGTAATTCGGCTGTATGAAGATTTTTAGTAATTTGAATATTCGCCCAAATTTCCATTTATGATGATTAGAAACAGGTTGCATATTTCTTTCAGAACGGAGAAAGCTGTATAAAAGGCAGCTCCTATCTAGACTGGATCATCAGTGAAAGCTAGTCCCTTCAGTCAGCAACTGCACTAAAATCAAAATGTTCAAGATTGTGAGTTCTGAAATGGATTGGGTTGAAAAGTGTAAAAATAAACTGAGCTCGTTTTAGGTGATGATCTGTGCAGTTATCGGCCTGGCCGCCGCCTTGCCAGTTGCCTCTAACCCTGACGATGTAAAGGCCGAAGTTGTTTCCCGCAAGGATGATGTTCGCCCGGATGGCTTCGACGCAAGCCTTGACACAACCAACCACATCACACGCGCAGAGAGCGGTGATGAACACGGAAACATCCACGGCAGCTTTTCCTGGATCTCGCCCGAGGGTGAAAAAATCGAAATCTCTTATGTTGCTGATGAGAACGGATACCAGCCACAAGGCGCATCTCTGCCCGTGCCACCCCCAATCCCAGCTGAGATCCAGCGCAGTCTTGAATGGATTGCTGCTCACCCATCAAAGCCCGAGCATTGAGCTCTGAATAGTACCACCTGAGCGGGACTAAGCTCTGAGTCAGTTGAATGGATCTTCTAATGGACTTCTCTCCATAATCTTACCATATACAATTTCGCAGCATGATTGATTTTTGAAATTCAAAATAAACTCATATAATCAACCATTTTGATTGTTTTTTTCGGCTGTTTTACAAGTTTTAGGAAAGGCAGTGCCTGAAAAAAATGATCGCGAACATTATGAATAAAAATGTTGTCAGTAGTGAGCTTTAATAAAAATATTCTGATTTTCATTGTCAGGCTCTGAACTGAACATGCTGATATATGCCTCTAAGCTACATCCTTTCTAAATTTTTGTAAATTTAGATATGTTCTCAAGTAATCCCAAAGCGCAAATTAACTTTATTCCAATCTAAAAAACTATTTCTTAAATAAAATACTCTTTTTGCAAGTAGCAATACAAAAATGTTTGACCTTAAAACTAAAAAAATGTATTTTTAAACCAATTAATTAGAGTTGGTCTCAACAGATTACGAACACTTTATGAAACACTTTTTAGTTGAGTAAAACTAAGAATTTGCTCATTTAGATCGTAATAGATTTATTGTATCTGAATTAATACAGTTAGCACAGTTTATATTCGGCTTTGTGATTTTCATAGAAATGTTTTTTTATTATACAGTAAAGCACATTTTTGTTTGCAGTGTGATATTCAGTTATAAGTATAATTAGATATTTGAGAAGAGCTGTACCAAACTTGAACGAGTTTTGTGGAAGATGTAGACTGTTTATTTTGCTATAGTATCGAGTCAAGATACAATAACAACAAAACGAGAAATATTTTTTAAAAATATTTTTTATTTTAAAAGACGTTGCGTATTATATTGTTTTTGCATACAAACATACACATAAGTTAGACAACGACATGAAAGTTATGCTCCTTTGTGCAGCACATTCGGATCTCTTCCGTTCCAAACAAACTCAGCTTGGGTACACTTCTGTGGGTGTGTGTGTGTGCATGTGTGCACGTGTGTTTCTTTATATACATACTTAGCAATAAGCTAGAATGCTTTTAAATGCAACTCAGGGGATCTCTCTGCCGGGTATGCCCGACAGTGTCCTCTTGTTTTATTTCTTTCTCTTTGTTTTTATGCTTTTAAAAATGCGAATTTTAATATTGTTAATTAGTGATAGCACCCCGGAATTCTTGTGAAATACAGTAGAACTTCGATTATACAGATATCATTATTAAGCTGGAACATCTATTAGCCGGGAAGTTGAGTGGTTGATCTATAAACATATTTTTCTATACTGGTATATATGACCCCTTTTCACTTGGATATTCGAGCTCGTTTGTGAGCTCGTTCCATAGCATCACAAAAAATCTAGGTTCTACTGTACTCTCTTTTAGAAGGCAAAGTATTTATATAGAATGTAGACTGTTATATAATATGCAGCTTCAATTGTAGAAACTCGTCTAATAGGTTTGCAAGTTGTTTTTTTTTTCAAAATTCGGCGTGATGAGTTGGTTTATTTTTGATATTAAATTTGCATATGCGACATGGAGGAACAGGTCTGATATTTTTTTCACTAAATGGAGCTGTATATAAGACGGCGCCTATCTGAAATGGATCATCAGTCAACGTTTGTTCCTTACAATCAACAACTGCACTTAACTCAAAATGTTCAAAATCGTGAGTACCTCAAAAGATGTTAAGGATTGGCAATATATAAAAAGTATCTGATCTGGTCTTTCAGCTGTTGATCTGCGCAGTTATTGGCCTGGCCGCCGCTGTGGAGTCTGAAGCGAATGCGGAAACTCTTGAACGCAAGGACGATGTGCGCCCAGATGGTTTCAATACCCTCCTGAAGACCTCCAATGGCATTGAACAAGCTCAGAGCGGTGATGAGCACGGAAACTCTCAGGGAGACTTCAGCTGGGTCTCGCCCGAAGGTGTCCATGTTCTGGTTAAGTATGTGGCTGATGAGAATGGTTACCAGCCCCAGAGCGATTTGCTGCCCACACCACCCCCAATCCCAGTTGAGATCCAGCGCGCTCTTGAATGGATTGCTGCCCACCCCTCAAAGCTTGAGAAATAGGCTCTGAACATGTTGACTCGATCGAATGGACCACTCCCAGAAAAATAATCCGTACATTTATTGTTTTTGCCGCATACTAATTTTTTAATTGAAAAATATATGCAGCGAATTGTTGAAAGCATATTAAAAAGCTGATGTTTTTCTAATCACCACTGTTTGCCACTAACCAAAGCAGTCAGTGGGCCAAAGAGTCTTTCTCAGCAGCAGAAACTATTCCCAGTCGAAGAACAATGCCTGCAAAAACACGGAATACTCCAATGAATGAGCAAGAGCCCTATAAAAAAGTGTCTAACTGTAAATCGAGCTGACAAACCGGTTGCAAATTTGCAAATCTTAATTTCGCTTTCGATTCGCATAACATTCGCCAATTTCGAAAACAAATACGTATATTATTCTTTCCAGTAGCTAAAGCAAAGCGTCAAGGCCAAAACAAGTTTTAGCAGCAAGTGATCACCCTGATCTTGGGATCTTGTCTCGCCGGCCGGCAGTCAGTTTATTATTATTTAAATCTTTCGACCGTAGCTAAGCGCTATCATTTACAACTATTTCCTTTCTAGGGTTCAATGTCTGCTATATGATAGACACCTCATCTGACTTAATTGCTTAACAAAATGTTTTTATTTCTATTTTATTTATGTTGTTATATTGTTGCTGAGAGTTTGTAATTGGCTGTTGTTTTCGTTATTATTCCAATTAGCTAATAATTATTATAATTTTCTCATTGCTCTGAATACTCTCGTAGATTGAATAATTATAGGGGCATGAATAAAGTAACTAACAGCTTACTAATTATATTAAGGTTTGTAATCATGTTCATAAGCACTTATAAACTTAGTAAGACATAAATAAATGCTTCTCTTGTCAGGTTTTAGGTTTGTGTTCTTATGAATAATCTAAACTATTTGACGAATATTCTTTCCCCACTTCAAAAAACAGTTGAGAAAGTCTTATTCAGGCATATAATGTTTAATAAAATAACACATAATTATACACCTTCGTCTCTAACATTTTTTTTAGGTGAATCGTTGCGGGTTCTGTCTAATGTAATATAATGTAGCAATAAGCATTAGAGAGTATTCTGTTCAATTAAATCTTATATTCTATGCTATCTAGCAACTAGATAGTATTATCCTATAGTCCTAGCCTGTATACGCTTTTTTATTTCACAACTCGTATTTTAGATTTCCCATCAACAGTCGGTTGGGGATAAAATTCAATTTTCTAATTTAATATGTATGTAACAGGCAGCTCAAATGTTCCCTGATCAAAAGAAAAACAAGTAAGAGGTTTTAGTCGGGAGCTTCCGACTAGGGGAGCTAGGGGAGCTCTTCTTCCAAAATCAAATGCATATATATATATTCTATTTTAGAAGCTATATGTCAAGTTTGGTGACTCTAGCTCTTATTAGTTACCAAAATTGCCCAGAAAACAGGATATTGATTTTTATCGATTGCTTGGAAACGGAGTAAGTTATCGATTATCGGCAACAAACTCGATCTGCGCAGGCACTAGGAGCACCTACATCTACAATATCAAGTCTCTAGCTCTTATAGGTTCTGAGATCCTTGCGTTCATACATACGGACAGACGGACAGATAGACAGACGGACATGGCTAGATCGACTCGGCTATTGGTGCTGATCAAGAATATATATACTTTATGGGGTCGGAGATGCTTCCTTCTACATGTTACATACATTTGGATTTTGCACAAATACAAAGTTGCAATACCCATTTTTAATGGGATTAGGGTAAAAATATATATATTTCTGATCAGGACCATAAGCTGAGTCGGCACTGTATGGTACTGCTGTCTGTCTATACGTCTTTCTGCCTGAATAAACGCGTTAATTTTAGAGAATATCGAATTGTATTTATTTTTATTTTTTTTAGAACGAAGGTCTTCGTATAACATATACAGTTTCATTTTATATTATTTGTATCGATAGCTATGACACATTAAATGGAAGGCCAAGAACGAGGAATTTTATATATTTAGCTATTTCCTATAGTCTAAAGGCTATCGATATCCATTTTAAGTTTGTACGGGACAGTTATATTGAATGTGATTTGACAAACGTTTAATATGCTTTCATACAAATTAAAATGTGACGCGCATTAAAAAGAAAGAGGCGCATTTGATATTTGCACGAATCATATAACAAACTTGATCTGAACAGGTAAGCAAATGTTTTTTCTTGCACATACATAAACTGCGACAGATGACAGCAGCAACCAGATTCAAGACTGAATGCCAAAAGGCGCTAACATCACGATTAAATCGAACATATTAATAATTGTACCTTTAGGATAGCAACAAGAAAACCAGAATTTTAATTAACACAAAAAACAAACCGAAAAAAACCAGTCCTATCACATAGATATGCACGGAATCATAAAAACGTATGCCAATTAGACTTCAAAGGCTATCGCACTTAGTGTTACCCGTTGACATTTTCGCTTACCGTCTGGGCTAATGCCCATCTGTGATAGGTTGCCCACAACTGGCCAGGATGTCGGCCCAGCAAACTGATGGTCGATGTGCTTGACAAGGCGCTCATATCGAAGCCCATACAGAACCCAACATAGAACAAAAATAGCACTAATCGCGACTAGGAAGACTACCTCAAACATTTTCACATGAGCAGCGATTCGAGATTACTGAATGCAACCAGCCTCAACAGCATTCATTTCACCTATCTACCAATGCCTATCAATATAAAAATACGAATAGTAAATTAGAGACATCAACTACAACCAGCACGCAGCTCACTACAATTACAGAGAGGCGAGTGCGCAATCAGTTGGAAGTTGACTTTGACGAGATTAAAAATGTGCAACTATGTCGCAGTCAACAATTTCCAGTTACGAGCCGATCTGTCTCAGAAGTGATAAGTGTCGTGTGGTGAATGAAACTCTATTGCTACACACGTTGTTCCCTATCCGAGTTCAGAGCATTACAACTTAGAAGCAATTATAAAACAAATGCAAGCATTAAGTGGCATATATACCATTTAATTAGAGCATTTTTAATGGTGAGCATTTGGTAGTTGTTCTGTAGTACTGTTGGATTAAAAAATCCTGCTCCACTTGATTAACACATGTATTCTTCGACGTTATTCCTGCTGCTAACAAAAGAGGTAATTAAGGCAACTTGTTTAATAAATAATTTAATGCCATAAGACACAAATCCATTGCAAACTTTTGCATATTAAACTCGTCTTTAAAAGTATATTTCCTTTAGAGCACATTTGCATATTCTGTTGTTCTTCTTTTGAGCTAAGCAGGGACGGATACAAATATTGAAATCTTAAATGCAGCTGCATAGTTAATTTAATCTGAGCAGATCTGATTTCTTGATTGGCAAACATTTTGCCAACAACAAAGCTCAGCAGACAGTATTAAATGAATACAAATAATTTTCGGAATTTGTGTTATGCAGAGGGCAACAAACAAATTAAGCGTCAAGTCAAAGAAAGATTTTTTTTCTTTATATGCAACATACAACTTTAATATAAAATAATTTTAACTGGAAAACCACTTACAAATGAAACAATAATATGTGTCTCTCGACTTCGGCCTGACTCGATGCTTATGATGAAGTTTTTCAACAAGATTGTTAGACGAATTCAATTAAGTAATTGCTGCTGAGATACTCCGAGTGTGACTGACACCTGCCTCAAATCCCCTAACTCACATAGCAGTCTATTGTTTGTGATGCTGAATGAATGTGCGTACATACATAGTGTGTATGTACATATGTGCAGCTTTTGCTTTAAAGCCTTGCTGAGCATTAGAGATGTGTACATGTTGTATTTTTTTTTAGATACACGAACACAAACGCACAACTTTTAACTTTTGGTGTATTTCTTTTTTTTTTAAATTGATTTATTCGTACAAACTGAATAAACCACACAACAGCCGAGCCACAACTAGTCATCTCCGTCTGTCAGTTTTTATACAAACATCTTGCCAATTGAGTCGGACAACTGTATCGTAAACCTGCGCACGAAACGATTTACATTTCAGTTGTCTATAAAAAACATTTTGATTTGCTTACAGATTTATACTAGATTCTGCAAACATCGTGTCATCGTCGGATTTTCACATCAAATAAGTCATACCGAAAAATTCGTTCTAAAATTTAATTTTTTTAAATTTTAATATTTATGAATTAGATTTTCGACAATATCGACATCATAGACACGTACGAAGTCAGGCGTGTCACGCGGTTACTTTCCTCATGACGTGGGCCCAGCACTTGAAATATATTTGATGAATGTTTAGTTGTGGGCTTGGCAGCTCTCAATCTGCAAATGTAAGCGGCATAAAATTATGGAAATTTTTTGGTAATACAGGTCAAGTATCAGCTCGAATTGTCGAGCTATTGTGAACGTGCCCATGTGCTTAAGGACAACAACTTACCCATACACACAATTTATGACAGAAGCATAAAATAATCCATTTCCTTATATTCTACTTGGCCGCAAACATTAGCAGATTTCAATACAAAGTATGGTTGCTTAATGTAGTTTGAGATTCATTGATATATTTTAAAACACATTTTATTAAAATGAGAAACAAACAAAACGTATATGTATTTAGCGAATAGAATATTCAATTCAAGAGTAACCTTAGTAGATCTACACAGGTTCCGTTTCCCTGCCTAAACCTCGTCTTGTCCGTATATTTATGTATGCTTTACCATAGAAATATATGTATCTTCTTATAACAGCTAAATATATTTAATTTGTTATACGTTGTCCAAGCCCTACTTCTCTCGTAACCGCTCTACTCATAACGCCAACAATTAAAAATAATAGCGTGGAAATTGGGTTCATCTGTCATTTTATTATACATATACCCAGAAAGCATTGATGAAGGCTATAATGTTTTTGTGGAAGTATATGTAACAGGATGAATAAAGCATTGCTTTCGTGCAACCTGCGAATTTCACCAGAACTGGTTAAGTAATGTTATTAAAGAAAACGTGTGGGCATATTGGCATAACCATGTGTCTGTTAGTGTCAGTCACATGCATATGAATATATTGATATGCGTGAGCTATTTCATTTAATTGGAAGTGAGGCAATGCAATTATTTTGTTTGACTGATGGGAGCGAAAAATATCGCTGAGGGGAAGAATTTATTAAAATTATTTGTTTTATAATGCTATCACTTTACCTATTAATTAGGTAACAACGTCAAAAGATCTATTTCTATGTCTAAAACCCGATCAAGTGAACGAGCAGCTCGAGTTGTTTCCGGTTTTTTTCATGTGCGTGTGTTAATGAACATTAATATGCATTCTCAAATTAAATCAACTAAATGCATATTTATATGAGACATCTATTGATGTATTCGATATTTTTTTCATAAGTTTACCCTGAAGCCATAAATGCGGATCGTCTTAAATCATCGATAGCTTATCCCATCATGCGTGCTTCTGATTTTAGCAGAAAGACGTTGAGGGTACCTCCTAGTCCGGCATGCCCGACTTACTTGGTATGCTTCCGAAATGGACACCGTAAGAAATATATGCTTGAAAATATATTAATATTCCCAAATCCATCGTGTCCCTAAATTACAGAACTTAATCGTGTTTGGTTGTGCTCGACAGCCAAATAAGCTTTGCATTAAACGCTTTTGCTGAAAATTTATGAAACATTTGATGGAATCAGGTCAATTATGGAGCGAGTGGCAAAGGCAAAAACAATCATGGAATGTCCAAAATGTTTTGGCACGCATTTAACTTCACACTGTTTGCGCGCCTCGTTGGGCGCACTGCTAATTAGCCGCAAATAACTGATGTATGCCACATTGTGCGGCCCGCGCGAACACAAGCACACTCATGCGTGAAGTTGTATGTGGGTGTGGATGTGTATCTACTGCGGGCGCAAATTAAATGCTATGAAATGGACATGAGCACGTAAACAAATATCGCATTTAGACAAGCGCATTTATCAAAATAAGTAGCAACGTTTCTGGAATTTTATTTGAAATTTGCTGAACTGTATTTTTAATTGTTATTATTTAGCAATAAGTTTAATGACTAATTATGGATACCAGAGGGTGCGTGTATGCTGGTGCGAATGCGGCTGCTATTGCTGTATTAAGTCTTTAAATGAGTTGCATTTTGGTTCCAGTACATGCCGAATGTGCCAGTTCTCAGCTGCCCCGCGGCGCCGAATTAGGCCTGAGCAGGCTTCTTGGCACTCGGCCGGCCTGCACTCACTTGCTGAATTTAAGACCAACTTTCAAAGAAAGGAATATAAAAACAGATATTATTTGTTGAAAAAGTGTTAATTTATGTATTATTTTACTCACCCGCACTGCTGCGTGGATTCTTCATTTTTGTGGGCTTCTTGCGCACCTCCGATTGGCTCATGCCGCTGGTGCCACTTGTGCCCGGCCCATGTGTGTCAATTTGCATGCTCTCATCACTGTCCGAGGCCTGGCTCTTCAGAACTTTTTTCAAATTGATAAGCTACTCAAGTGGAACACGGTTCAGCATGATGGTCAATAGTGTGGCTGTCCACTTACCTCCTGTTCGATGCGCTCCTTGTTATACAGGCGCTTGGCTTTCTCGGCATTTGCATAGTTAATCTGCATTTCAATGCAGTTGGAGACACCATCACAGGAATTGACCCACGCCTGCAGAGTTTCCACTATCTTGCCTGTATAGCCAGGGGGTATGTCACGCCCCTGGGCATAGTCGACCTCCAGAATGCGTGTGTTCTGAAACAGTTTGCCATGTATGATGTCTGCATATAAGAAGAAGCATTTAGCTTAAATTATTAAATGGTTCAAAATGCGACAAAAAGCCATCAGCAGCACATAAAACGATGAGAGACTACACTGCACTTTTTGCTGCACAAATCCAACATTTATTCCAAATACTGACCCCTGTTTTAATAGTCATGCAGATTTTTTATACTCTACCTCAGCTACTTAGTATGTCACATGCTGTCAAGTAAAGCTGATTAATTGTCCAGAACGAGTGGAGTGCGTCGTGCATCAGCTGGCCAATGGCAGCACAGAGGGCAATTTTGAATTTAAATGCCAATCCAATAAATAAGTGGACTCAAGTGACGCCTGCAGCCAGCTCAAAAAATCGACTTTCACAACACACAAGCACAGCCAGAGCTCAGGAACAGTTTGAGTTGATTGTGGCCGGGATATGTGGCAATTGTGTGGTCTCTGTATTTGGCTGCGGATAATAGTTAGCTGCCCACCAATAACTGCGACAAAGGATCCTTGGCGAACACTTCAAAGTGCTTCCATGTGTCATTCATTGGCATCTTAGTGCCGGGCACACAAAAAGTTTTCGGTATGAGAACGTGACCTTCGGGCTCACACAGACAGTCTAGTTTTCCGAAGGCATTAAACATAGCCCAACACCAAGTTGGCAACAGCTGCTTGGGCAGGGCAGAGTTCAAAAAACTTACAAAACTTTCTGACCGAAAGAAGAAGGTTGAGATTGAAAATCTAAAAATGCCGTATAAATATTTGATTGCCAGCTAAAAGGATTTCATATTAAGCTCAAATCTTAAATTGCTATATAAATATTTAATTGTCAACAAATAGGATTTCCTAATTCTTAATTCTCTGACTTTTAAAACAAATAAATTATCAAAATATATTAAGACAAAAATGTAACAATATAATATCATTTATATAGCATTTATAAAATAAGTATACCCATCTTGCTTTTGGTAAATCGCTTCGTTAATACATAGTTTTGCAATGAATACTGCAACGTAATTTTGTCATACTGTGAACGTTTGTGAAAAAAGAAATTCGAGTATTCAATTGAGATATTTATAATAATATAAGCGTAAGTCTCTTTTAATCCATTCAAAAAGCTTTAAAAGCTTTCATAATCAACATTGAATTGGCTGCAATCTGTCCCTTTATCAAATCAATATCAATTAAATTGATGAGAAATTTGAGAAATAAAACAAAAATCAGAAATATCGAAAAATTCAGACAAATTGATTTTGCCCGTACAACAATATCGATGATAATTATGTACTCGTACAAGCAAGCAGGCCCCATCAGCTCCCAAGGGGGAGTCGAGTCTACTGGCAATTGATAAAATAATAAAAAATACTCGTTATTCAATGAACATTCGAATATTTAACTTTTGTTTTAGATATTTTACGGCAGCTAGCATAGCCGAGGGCTTATGTGATTAGCTTTCAGTGTTGGCCAGCAGCTACTTTATTACCAATATCCAGTCGAAAGTGTAAGCCCGGAAGCGCTGCTTTTGGATGGAAATTGCACGGGACAGGCCGACAACGATTGTTGGCCGTAATTAGTTTGAAATTGTTAATGCGCTTAAATCGGATAACCATGGATTAGTAGAAATTTTCAATTGAACAGTTTTCCTAAGGGGTTGCGTTCGCTGTGCTATAGAGCACTTAAGTGTTGTATAATCGGTCGAGGGAAAGACAGAGGACAGAGGACTACGAGCATGGCCATAACGAATGGCCAAAAATGATAGCTAGTGTCAGAAACTTTGGGCCACGGCCAGGCGAGCCCATTAAATGTCCTGTGTGGAGTTTCGCCCTTTTCTGGCCATGTGAAAGCACAAGTTAAGACCTTAAGCGCATTTTGGCATTGAATTAACGGCTAGTTGGCCTTGAAGTACGCTGCACACGACCAACTTTTGTCACAAATACGCACCAAAAAATGTGCAGCCTAGTTGCCAGCACAGATCTGAATCCTTGTGCCCAGGGTATCCACCTCCTGCCTTGCTCTTGCTATCTGTCAATTCAAGCATTTCCTTTGATTAGCTTGGGCGCAGGCATTTTAATTGAATTTGAGCCCAAGAAGCATGCAACAAATAAATGATAAAACAAGTAAGAGGTTCTAGTCGGGAGCTCTCGACTAGGGGATACCCTGAACCCTCTTCTTCCAACATCAAATGCACATATGTATTCTATTTTAGAAGCTATATGTCAGGTTTGGTGACTCTAACTCTTATTATTTACCAAGATTGCCAAAAAACAGGATATCGATATCGATTTTTATCGATTGCTTGGAAACGGAGTTAGTTATCGATTATCGGAAACAAACTCGATCTGCGCGGGAACTAGGAGCACCTACATCTAAAATTTCTCTAGCTCTTATAGGTTCTGAGATCCTTGCGTTCATACATACGGACGGACGGACGGACGGACAGACAGACGGACATGGCTAGATCGACTCGGCTATTGATGCTGATCAAGAATATATATACTTTATGGGGTCGGAGATGCTTCCTTTTGCCTGTTACATACATTTGGCTTTCGCACAAATACAATATACCCTTATACCCATTTTTAATGGGTTCAGGGTATAAAAAAAACATGACGAGCGCCTTTATCAACGCCAGCAATAAGTGGGCGTGGCTTCCACAAGTGTTGTAAAGTTTTGCGGTATATTTGGCGTTGACATGTGTCTTGGTTTTGCGGTGCGCAAAAACACGCGCTTGTCCATGTGCGTGCATGTGTGTGGGCCTGGGAATGGGGGTGTCAGCTCGCAAAGCTGGAAATTCAACCCCAAAACAATCAATCATGCTTTTTGTGCACGCCGCACCCAGGGGCCAGGGGCTGCCGTAAATTGTGCCAAAAATTGCGCAGCCCGGGCGGAATCTGACTGCGACTGGTAGAGACTGGCTGGGTAGTGGCTGCTTATATATATATTATATTGGCGTAGTGTATATAAAAATTTTTAAAACACGCTTTTAGGCGCTTGAGTAACGACAAAAAACAAACGAAGAAAAATCATAAAATAAACATTCACAAATGAAAAACTCCAAACATGCAATAAGGATTTGTTAATTTCGTTAAATAAGACGCAATGCACTTCTTGAGTCATCAGACATTTGAATTTAAAAGCATGACTCAACCCATTAGTGTGAGCTAAGTGTGAAAACTCAATTTTATTTAAATGAATAATAGCCCAAGTGGCAGAAATACAAATACAATTACAAAGTCTCACTAAGGACATTGACGGAAGACGCAAAAGTGGAAACCCTGCGGTCAAATGAACAAGTATGTCATATAAATTGTTAAAGGTTTGCTCAGTATCTATCTCAAGTGATTGTTAATATATATTTATTTTAAAATACATAAAATACAAAACATATTTGTAGTCTGTTCAAAGTTCTCAAAAATAGGCTTAATGATATAATACGTTTTTTGTAATTTTCTCGGTAATTGATTGTCCAAATGTAGAGTTTATTTTTATTCTTTTATTTTGTTTTTTGTTTCTCATCCTTTGTTATATCCGCAAAACGCAATAACTTGACGCCAATTTTGCCCCCGCTGAGTGCTTAACGGAGCGGCGCATCTAAATGGCCAGTCAAAGGAATGTGAAGCTGAACATTATGAAAAGTTTGCATACACCTGTCGCTGACAGCTTTAGCTAAAGCTGGCAGCAGATTTTTTCCCCGAAAGTAAAATGAAAACTTATTAATTGAAAATTCAAAATACCGACAGCAGGCGACAGACAGGGTATACAGAGGTACGGTAGAATATAGCCGCCCCGGAAACTTGTGCCATCAATATAAAGTCGGGCAGGCAACTATTGGAAACTTTTCACCTAAAACTGAAAAAGTGCAGGGGAAGCTGTTCGAAACTTTGGCGGTTCGACTTACAACAATGTTCCGCACTCGCCCAAAAAATATGCATTGCAAGCGCAAAGTAATCAAAAACAGCTGCACGACCAACATGTGGTCGAGGGCGTCGGCCTGGGCGTGGCTCATATCCTGTTGTCAGTGTTGTGTCAAACAAACAACAGCAACTGCAATAAATGCACGCATCGCAAAATCGGAAAAACCACAAAAATATGAAAAAAAAAACGTAATAAACAAGAGTGCTTAACTGAGGAATGCCCGACTAGGGCAGACTCTGTGCCCCGCGACAAGCTGTCGTTGCAAGCTTCGTTTTAAATAAGATAAGCCAGCACACCGAATACTTTTGGAATTATGCTTAGAAACCCAAGACTCGAAGTCGATATTTATCGCTTAGGAGATGGGAAATATGAAATATGAATATAAAATACCTAGCTCTAGATCGACCCAGCTTGTATTCTAAATAATATATGTATGGGATCTGAAATGCTTCCTGTTGCTGTTAAATTCATGTACCCAAAAACAAAACGCCCTTAAACATGTTCAATGTTTATGAAACAAGGTAAATCCAAGTCAAACGCTCAAAAGCGTTATGTATAATGCGTCATTTCAGCTTTGACAAGAGCAGCATCCTCTAAAGAACTTAAAGCGAGGATGAAACTAAACGCTTTGCCCATAAACCATGCCCTGCTATCAGCCCCAGCCCCCGTCACCTTTTCACAAAAGCAACGCAGATTTTCGCATAAAAAAACAGTCCAGTATCAAAACTATGCGGATGCTTGGCGAAGAGTTACCCTAAACATTTAAACATTGCATATAGTGCGTTCATATACATCTTACTTTAGAAGACATGCTGTCAGTTTCGGTAACAATAAAGCTAATATTCCCGTAAAAACTTTTGTTGAAAGAAAATAAGAATTATCTTTTGCATCTGCTGCCAGACTCTATAGCTAAATCTTGTATTGAATAAAAATAAACTATTAAATTTCTATTTTATATGAGAAATTACTTTTGTATTACTTTATTATATTATTTTTAATCTTTGTACGTTAGCTTTTAAGTGCTATTATTTAACAGTTTTAACTTCTTATAAAAATGCAAACTATATCTTAAGCTGAGGCCGAGACTGGCCATATCTTAGTC